AAAGGACGGGAAGCCAAACCGTGGGGCGGAGACGTAAGCTGGGTTGAATTCGCCAGGTTAGCCCGGGGAACTTAGATTGAATGCTAGTGGCGGACACATAAGCTACGCTGTGTGACTCGTGGAGGCTGCCGCGCGCAGACAGAGTGTGTGGGGCTCAAGTACATAGGGAACGCGGGGCTAGCGCGGAGACCGCGGAGTGTGTGCGCAAAGCCGAGCCGCGCAGAGCCGCAAAGCCGCGCAGATGAGAGAGGCGCGGGCTGAAGCGGCTCAGAGCCGGAAAGCCGCCGAGAAGCAGCCTCGGGGCGGGCGCCGGAAAGCCGCAGGGATAAGAGAAACAGAAGTTTAGAAGTAAAATGAGAGAAATGGGAATGTTGGCAGACAGAAGTAAAATGGGAGAAATAGGAATGCCCAGAGATAGAGAAATAGAGAAATAGAAAGGCCTCCCCTCAACATGGCAATGAGAAAGCTTGGATTCGGTCTGCCCGATTAGTGAGGCGATGAGCACCTGCGGCGGCTAGCAGCTTAATGCGCCGCAGGTCACCGAAGACAGGCACGAATTAACATCAGTAAGGCCTCCCCACAATACAGCAATTAGGAGGCTTGGATTCGGTCTGCCTGATTAAGGCGATAAGCACCAGCAAGCAGCTCGACCGGAGTATGAGCTGCAGGTCACCGAAGATAGGCATGAATCAACACCAATAAGCCTCCCCACAATATGGCGCTGAGAAGGCTTGGATTCGGTTTGCCTGATAGGTTTTGTAAGCACCTGCAGGCAGTTCTAGCAGAGTAGAGCATGCGCTGCAGGGCACCGAACACAGGCATGCATCAGTGCCTAGAAACCGCCTCACCACATGGCGAAGAGAGGACCCGGATTCGGTTTGCCTGATTGATAGGACTTGTAAGAACCTGTGGCAACTCTAGCAAGTAGAGCAGAGTGTGTGCCGCGGGACACCGAAGACAGGCGCGTATCAACGCCAAAAAATAAAAAGAAAGGGGGATCTGTGGGGAGCAACCCGGACTAGACTGTTACTGGAATTAAGACTTATTCTATGCATCTGCTCTCCCACAATATGGCGCTGGGAGAGAAGTAAACAGCTTCCGCACAGCTGCCTCCAGTTCAGCTAATAAACTGTAGGACTTGCTCCTGATTGGAGAGCAGCGTACTCGGCGTGTGGGCAGCCGAGTTGGGATTGGCGGAGGAGGACTATAAAGGAGGAGAGAGACGGCATGCACAAGGAACATCTAAGGGGAACATCTAAGGGGAACACCTGTGCAGCCCCTGAGAGAGCCGGCCGGCGGTGTGCCGCTCCCCTGCGGAAGTGGGGAATGTGGCCAGGGGGAACTGTCCTTCCACGGAGGTGGAAGGGACAGTAGCCAACCCGGGAAGAACCAGCAGAAAACCCGGGGAGGGCCGAGCAGACGAAAGAACAGCGCAGGGTCCTGTGTTGCTCCTCCACGAAGAGGGGGAGTGACAGTGGGCACATGAAAATCAGTGTGCTGTTCCTGTATCACAGGCAGGCAGTCTAACTACACATTGGCAGATGTGGTTTCAAACTCAGTTCTGTGATTTACCAACCAAATGACCTTGAGTAGCTGTTTAACCTAAGCCTGTTATTTCATCCATAAATTAGGGACTTCTGTTTTTAACATATTTAGATATGATCAAGTACATAAAGTGCCAAATATGGTACCGTGAACTGATGATGCACTCAATAAATGGATATGTTGAGATGGGCAAACAGAATTGTGTCAATTAGATTTAAAATAGGTTGTTCACCTGATTTTCCAAACACTGGTCAGTGTTGGTGAGCCTCAGGGTCTTGTCACCCAAATAGGCCTGTCTTGGTGTGTGCTTCCCAGAGTGCAGTGCAACCAAGTTTATTCACATAAGAGACTGGGGGGCCAACAGAGAAACAGGAATGCCGAAGCAGAATATTTTTTAAGATTTATTTATTTATTTGAAAGTCAGAGTTACACAGACAGAGAAAGAGAGGCAGAGAGAGAAAGAGAGGTCTTCCATCCACTGGTTCACTCCCCAATTGACTGCAATGGCCGGAGCTGCGCTGATCCGAAGCCAGGAGCCTGGAGCTTCTTCCGTGTCTCCCACATGGGTGCAGGGGCCCAAGGACCTGGGCCATCTTCTACTGCTTTCCCAGGCCATAGCAGAGAGCTGGATCAGAAGTGGTGCAGCCAGGACTCGAACCAGAGTCCACACAGGATGCCGGCACCACAGGCAGTGGCTTTACCCACTATGCCACAGCACCAGCCCCAGAAGCAAATATCTTGACAGTCCACTCAAATCCAAGTATTTCAAAAAACACACATGCCGTTTCAGTATTTACAAAGGTACCATTCAAGTTCTCTTCTTGCAAAAGATATTCGGGATTAGGAGATTAACTTGTACTTACTCTATTATCATAAAAGGACAATTAACTGGCATTTGTAATAATGCAAATGAGCGTGTATCTACTGCAGGATAAAGATCCACACTCAAACAAAACCAAGATGCTGCTAGGACAAAAAAAAAAAAAAAAAAAAAAAAAAAAAAAAGAATCAAATAGAAGCCACAAAACCCTGAGAATAAAAGACCTAAGATGTACCATGCTATATGTTTTTAAAATGTCAACTCTCAAGGTGGGTGTTCTGGCAGAGCAGGTTAAGCCACTGCTTGGGATGCCCACATCAGCGTGCTGGTTCGAGTCCTGGCTACTCTACTTCATATCCAGCTTCCTGCTAATGAGTCTGGGAAGGCAAGAGATGATGGCTCAAGGGCTTGAGAACCAGACAGAGTTCCTGACTCCTAACTTCAATTTGGATGAGGCCTGGCTGTTGTGGGAATTTGGGAAGTGAACTAGTAGATGAAGATCTCTTTCACCCTTTCAAGTAAATGAAAAGTTATTTTTTAAAATGTCAGCCTTCTACAGATCACACTGTTTTATAAGAAAATGCAATCAGGGTCCCCACAAGTTTTTCTTAAAAAAAATCAAACTTCATAAAATAGGTTCTAAAATTCACCTTAAAGAGTAAGAGTCCTGGAGCTGCCCTGTGGTGTAGTAGGTTAAGCCTCCACCTGCAACACTGGCATCCCATATGGGCACCAGTTTGAGTTCCAGATGCTCCACTTCTGATTTAGCTCTCTGCTAATGGCCTGGGAGAACAGCAGCAGATGGCTCAAGTGCCCCTGCATCCACGTGGGAGACCTGGAAGACGCTCCTGGATCCTGGCTTCTGATTGGCCCAGCTCCAGTCAGTGCAGATGCTGTAGTGTGTTCAGGGTCATGCTATCCAAGTGCTTTACAGTAGACGGCATTATCAATACAACTCCCCATGTAACATTTTAAAAATTATGAGAGAACATCTTCCATTTGTTGGTCCACTACTCAAATGTCTGCACCAGCCAGGATTGGGCGAGGCCAAAGCCAGGAGCCTGGAACTCAATGGAGCTATCACCTGCTGCCTCCCAGGATACACATTAGCAGGAAGCTGTACTGGAAGCAGAGGCGGGCCTCAAACTGAGAGTCTGATATGGGAATGCAGGTCCCAGGTAGCACCTTAACCAATGTGTCAAATGTCTGTTCCTATCCATGTATCTTATCCTGTTTGGGGATGATGACACCAAGATTTTAAAAGGTAAGTAAACTGCCCAAGTCAAATATGGCCAAGGCAGGGTTCTAAGCCCAGCTGACTCCAGACTTATCTCCCTGAACAAACAGTAATGCTCATTACTGACAGAGTTCCTATACAGCATTAACAAAGAACCCTGGACTGGCACTGCAGCACAGCAGGCTAAGCTGGTGCTTGCAACACTAGCATCCCTTATGAGCCTGGTTCAAGTGCTGGCTATTCTACTTCCAATCCAGCTAACTGCTAATGTGCTCAACGAAACAGAAGATGGCCCAAGTCCTAGGTCCCCTGCCAACCACATGGGAGACCAGATGGAATTCCTGATTCCTGGCTTTGCTTGGCCCAGCCCTAGCAATTGTTACCATTTGGGGAATGAAGCAGTGGATGGATAGAATATCTGTGTGTCTAATTCTGCCTTATCAAATAAATAAACCTATTTAAAAATTATAGGTACACTAAAAAAAAAAAAAAAAAAAAACCTAAAATAACCTGGTATAGAAATGGAGGAAGTATGTAACATGCAAATACATTATAATATGCAAACAGTTTATACATACATTAAAAAGCTCAACCTTACAAGTACTTACTATCAGGATGTTAATAAGTAGGACTATAGAGAATGCTAGGAAATGATATTCATACATGCTGATAAGAATGTACCTTTACAAAGCATTTTTGGAAGACAATCTGATATCAAAACCTATGATCTATATATCTTTCCAGCAATTCTTCTTCTAAACACTGAACCTTAGCACAAAAAGTCACATACATGACTACTCACTCCAAGCTCTTCCACAAAATCAAAATAATGGCAAGAACTTAACTGTTCATCAACAGGGAGAGTCGCTGGAATAGATCACTGTACATCCATTTATAAAGTACATGAAAAGGAAATCAGTAAGAACTGACTTGGAAAGATGTTGACGGCATACCATTCAAGAGGGGAAAAGAAGTTACAGAATCCATAGGTTTAAAATATTCATTTGGTAAAAGAGAGGGAGTATCCAAAGTTGAATGACAAAGAATACAAAAGAATACAAAAGAAAATGAGAAAGGGAAATGAACATGCAAATACACATATTGAAAAAGACAGTTTTTATAGAGTGGACACTCCAGGGGTGGAAGTGGGATTGGGGCCTATGAGTTGAAGCAGACATCTGCATTTTAGTTAATAGTTTTCTGTAAAAATGTGCAGTGTTTTTGTAATTTTGAGAACGCAAATGCAAGTGACAAAGTCACTATCTTGTGTTTAGTCTTTTGTTTAGAAAAAGAGCAAGATGGGTAAACAAATGAAGGAAAAACACTAAAGAACAACCAGAGAGAATAAAAGGGAGGAATAAGAATGTTACAAATTAAGAATAACGACTGACACCTACATTCAACTCAACTGACGCAATAAATTTATTGTTTCCATAATAATACTCTGGACAAGGTGAAGAAAATGGGCACAATGACAACACATGTAAACTCCTGTCACAAATTAATCTCACATATTTCCAGTGGTTCAACATAGTAAATGTAAAATACATAAAGAAAAACACAAGAAATATAAATATTCAGATTTTTATAGCACAACACAATGTTTTCTAAAAAAAAGTTTGTCATAACTGTTTATGTAATTCTGACAGTAATTCAAAACACAAAAATCACACCTTTCTCCTAACCTTCCCTACGATCTGGATGTGAGGACTGTCGTATTAAAGAAATATGCAAAAATAAGTTTAGTGCTCAGAGACAAATAATTTTCCTTATTTTAATGCATCAAGGTGCAAAAATTTCAATTAAAAAAATCCAATCATTACCATATGCAGATAAATAAGAGATTTAACAATACTTTTATAACAAAATCCAACATTATACTATAAATACATGTGTGTGTGTATTTATATATGCAATACCTATTTAAAAAAAAAAGGTGACTTAGTGAAAATGACTGAAAATATTCATGGATGCACATTATGTACAAACCCTTCTATATAAAAAAATTAAACTATTTTCAATGAAATCTCATGTTCACATCCACCTGAAAATTGTACTTGAAAGATAAATAGGTCTACCTAATGGTTTCTTTCTGAAATCATGGCTAAGGCAGTTCTTTCCAAGGGTTCTACCTACGCAACATCACTAATACTAAGCAGTATAGACAAACACTACACAGATGCAGCCTGACATGCCTAAGCATTATTTCCTGGAGCTCTGTTCAATGTTAAAAGAGGGGAGAGTTTATTGTTGTGCTACAAAGAATATTTTTCTTTCTTAAAATATACAGTTTCTCTATTCCAAATTAAGCACTTACTTAAGACATTAAGAGGCTAAGAAGCCACTCCATTTGGTGTCACTATGAATAGCCCTATAACAAAGAACTCTGTGTTGGAATAGCTAGAAAAGTTCTCACTAAAGTAATAGTGCATCCTTCACCTGCATAGAATCCATTTGGCTTAATCGCTCTTTGTCCCCCAGAACACCAGTCTGGAGTTCAAATGCGCTCCTGGAGGTCCATCTCAGCTACGAAAAAAATATTTCACAGAAGCCATCTAAGGATATATAGGATAATAAAGTTGGTTAAATCTGTTTGATGAATCTTAAAACATTCCTCATGTGGAGTAGCTGCTAAAGGTTAAAATGAAGTAAAAAATGCAGTGGGGGCAATGACGTTGAGCCGGTCAAATAACCATTTCCCTAAGTCTTTAAACAGATAGCTGCAAATATCTAGTTCCTCTAACTTTTTATTCTACAGGAACTGAGGATCTGAAGCTTTTAAAAGGTGAAAAATTGAATACCCCTAAAAGGGAACAGTCTGAGGCAAAAATTGTAGATCTGTAAATGTTTTATGTGTACACACAGTTGTGTGTATTATTCTGTATATATTTACATTCATATTTACAAGATGCCCTGCAGTGTAGTTCAGAAGGCCTTTATCAAGGATCAGTTTCTAATATAGGCCCTAGAGTTCATACCACCTGTGTAAGAAACAAATGTGCATATATTCACATAATGTAAACCTTATCAACAAAAACATTTCTATTAACACTAGGTTAAATAGGTTTTAGGTTAATGGTTTCTTCTATTATCAATCAGTGACGTAATTAGAACATTTCTAACACTGAGAATCAAAATAATGAAAAAAACACAACTGAGTCTTAAATTCACAAGAAAAAAAGATACTAAGTATGGCAAACATGAACAAAGTTCAAATTCCAGAGTAGGGAAAAATATCAAAACTTTATAAATCTCTTGGGATGCAGTTTAATTACCGCATCACTAGAAAAATAGACTCATCAAATTAACAGCACTGTTATGGATTCTCTCAATATTTCAACCCATATGTTTATCTTTTTCCTCTTTTGTTTCCAGCTGGAGGTTTCTTCAACTGAAGGAGTTGTCCTCCTGTTCCAAAACCTGCAGAGGCAGGATTGGACACCCCAAATGTCAAACCAGCTGATGCCGTGATGCCAGGATTGCTGAAGTTAAACCCAGATGTACTTGAGCTGCCAAAGCCTTATGATTAGGGAAGAAAATATTCATATCAGAAGTCAAATCACAGAAACAAATACAAAAACTGGGCTGAGTGGTAAAACTCTATCTGAAAGAATACATAATGTGTAAGACTAGCAAGTATCTCAGGTTCCTGAATTTCTAACATGGAATTTTACAGGAAAATAATTTACCCAGCAATCAAGTGGCACCTTGACAGAAGTTTAATGATGTAGGCACGGAGAGATACGTTAGTACAAATAAATCTGCAATGAACTTCAAGTTACCAGGAGCTTTGCTGTTTAACATGTTAAGGTACCTTCCTCCTCAGCCCTATCAAAAGATCTTAGCAACAAGCAGAAGACACTCTCATGACATCCTGGACCCAATCCTGCAATACCAGGTCCTCCAAGAAAGCCTCAGCTTGCAAGGCTCTGGACAGAGGGCACAAAGAGCAGCACTTCCTGTTTTGAATTCATAAAAGCCCTTGCAGAATTAGGATCAAATCCTACTTAACTAATATAGTATTTAGAGTATAATTCTAGTATCACTGAATTCTGTTTTCTTACTTGGCTGGAAATGTTGGTTTTCATTTAATATTAATTCCCTAAATTTAAACATATCTTAACAGTATTACATCATCATTTCAGACATGCTACTTATCCTTAAACATTGCATATTAAAATAAGCTGTTATCCATAAATAAAACAAATGCAAGCAGAGACAGACTCTGGAATTTTTTCTTAGCGGAGTCAAAAGACAATGCCTATTTCAAAAATTAAACAAGGACTCAATTAATCATCACTTGTAAGGCTGTGGAATTCTTAAAGCCGGAGGAACTTATAGTTGAAGAGTGTCTGTTTGGAACAGAAAAGGTTCTCCTGCATCAGTAATGATAAAATCTGGGTTAAATGTTCATCATAATGGGTTCATTTTTCCAATAAGGAAGAAAACATTGAACCATGAAGTTAATCACTGGGTTCAAAATGAATCTCTACTAGTTAAGAGAAGATATAAAAACTGTATGATTATGTAGGTTTGCATGCTTCATCCAGGAAATATAAACTGAAGTAGGAATCTTTTTGAATTACTGGAATAATAACACTTATACTTTCAAATTAAATAACTTGCAACTTTAAATTTGCCTGAAATTCAGGCAGAAACACACAAACCTGCACTAAGACTTCCTGAGGGTTTATTTGTTGTTCCAAATCCAAATGTTGAGGCCCCTGTGGTGCTGCATCCAAAACCAGAGCTAGTTCCAAATCCTAGTGGAAGGGTAATAGAGAAATATACAATGGTACATAAAACACAGGTTAAAGGATGCTTACAAGTAAGATCAAATTTATCAAAGGTATAAGAAAAACAGTGTTGAACAACATGACCTTATTAATGAAATCTATTTGTCCTGTTGCATAAGACTTCTGTAAGAACAAGATTAATTTTGAAGTAAAACATAAGTCTTTAAGTTTATGACCCTTCAATAATTTTTAAAGAAGACTATATAAAAATAAGATAATAGCAGTTTCTCTCCCAAATGTGAAATTTTATTGACCATTCAAGAATGATTTTTGAAAAATTTATAAGCAGATCAGCTTGAGGAGTATTTCCTTTTACAAAACAAAGATTCACTCGGTTAATTAATAAACATGACATGTACAGCAAGGTACAATAGAAACATACAAAAAGTAATTTTATTCTGCTCTTTACTAAACCATTTTTGGCTAATCAAAAATCTTTACCACTGAAAAGCTGCATAACCACATAATGGTCAATTTCGCTTAAACTACTCAGTAACAGTAGATTCCCACTACACTACCAGCCAATGCAACAGTGAAATATCGGGACTGAGGTGTTGTCTTTCCTCTTAACAAATTTTCACAATTGAAAAAAAAAAACAGAAGTATTTTTCATCACACAGAGTTCATAAAGAAATTCTCAGTGCTTGATGACTGGTATCCAAGATGATCTTGAAATAAAGGTGAAATTCATTTTAGAATGTTGCTTTCCAACAGCTTATCTAAAATTACTGAGTTTGTTGGTCACAGCCTGTTACTGAAGAATACATGGCAAACTGGATTACAGATTGCAAGAGTTATACTGTCTGCCATGATTCTTGTAACTCTCAGTGAAGAACAAACTCTTTATTAAATAACCAAAATACTTTATATGCTTCCTTCTTCTTTTAGTGGAAATAAGAAAGTCTTACACATCATGCTTTAAGGTGTTTGGCAAAATATAACCAACTCTCAATTATCCATACCAAAGGTTTGTGAATGAATTAGTATTTAGCACGGTGTTTTCTGCAGAGGACTTACCTTACCAATTACAATTAACTTTGAAGCTATTAAAATAAGCTTAATTGCTTATAGATACACGTATAAATATAGGTAAATAGGCCAAAAATACTTAGAAATGGACAGAAGGTGTTTAATTTATAATAAAATCATTTCCCCATTTAACGTGCTTATTTTCAGATAAAAAATATGATTATCCATGGAACAGTTTGGATTCCAAACTAATATTAAGACTACCACTTTTTATACTTTTAATCAAACTTGTTAAAACTAAGTAATTCTCAAGTTCATATTTAAGTATATTGCTTTGAAAAGATGAATATCCCTACCACTTATTTTTTAATAATTTTTATATTTACTATTCACAGAAGGAATGATCCTTTCAAGTTTGAAATCTAATATGAGAAAGCAATGACTATGTTTGGAGAATCGTTTTTGCCAGATGGGAACTTAACTTTCCAAAATAGCAGCAGATCCTCTTAGAAATCTTTTTAAAGACTAGTATCAGTTCAAGTGTATTAATAGTTCAATGAAATATTAGAAAAGTTAAAGTGTACCTCCAAGGTTTGAAGAACCTAAGCCACTTGATTGCAAGCCAGTGCCAATACCTGAGCCGAATGGCGTTCCAAAACTAACTCCCAGAGATGGCTGTGGCCCTGGTATAAAAAAAAATGGGGGGAAAAAAACAAATTTGCCTTACTCTTTCAAGATTAAAGTTTCTTTATGAAATTATTTTAAATGAACAGTGATTACTTTTAACAAATTCCATTTATTAAAACTGTTTTCAGGATATCTCTCCAGACTAATCTGTCCCAAATGATTTACCTAACCAGTAAAAAAAAATTTTTAATTAACCTTTTCAGAACTAGACGTTAAAAGAGGCTTACCACAGTGAAAGATATTAGTTAAACCTACTAAGTAATTTGAAATCTTTAATGTATCATAAATGCTATTTCTTTTAGATTTACTTCTAGACTTATTTTAGATCGCCCCACTTGTTTCCTGAATAAAACTATTTGGTGCAATGAGTAAAGGGGTTTACTTTAAAAACAAAAAAAAAAACCAAAAAACAAAAAAAAACTTCTTAGTTGTTAGAGTCAAGTCTCAATTGATCAAAAGAGACTGAGACTAACACGGGAAAACTATCATGTTACTTCATAAGAGTTAATACCCAAAAAACTGATTTTTTTATGAAATATAAATGATTATACAATAAATAGATAAAAAACAAGACAATGTTTTATTTTATTAAATTTATTGTTCATTTTAAAGCAAACCAATTACACAGTAACATGACAATTCCAACTTGTTCACAAAAAGTGATAATTGAGTTCTCTTCTTAAGCTCTGCTACATTACACCACTTATCACCTGATTAAATAAGATAGATAATGAACATTTACAAAGGCACCGCTGTGTACCTTGACAGATTCAATACATTCAAGATTTCAATTCAGAAATTTCTTCCCAACATTTTGGAAAATGTATTCAGATGCAAAATGATTAGTCATCCTTTTCCCATTGATACTTTAAAGATTTTGGCTGAGTTTGTTTGGCAAGAATAGCATCAAACTTACTAGCCTCTCTTTCTATCACCTATTTTTTTAAACTAAGTAGAATACAAAAATCTAAAAATCTCTCGTTTGATAAATAATTTATGAAAATTAGTAAATTTCATAGTACAATCTTCAGTCTTGTCTTTTTCAAGCACAGTGATCAGTGCATCTCAAAATTGAGGGAAAAAGTAATATACATATTAAAATTTAAATTTGCAAAGAAATCAAAGCCTTCAAGTTGTCCAATGAAGAATGAGGTTTGTATATTCAAATGGTAGTGTAAAATTATAATAAAACATTTAAAAAAAAACTGAGGAACTACATTCTGCTACACTGGGACAGAAACTGGACTTTTCAAATAGTTTCTACCCAGAAAATAAAGGACAATAACTAAATAGCAGCCAGCGTTCTTATACTATTATCAAAATAAAAATAAGTTAAAAAGGATTTACAATTTTATATCCAGTTTGAGATCAATTTGAGAATAAAATATCTGCCTAGCAGCTCTTTTGTAAAATGTTACCATAGGAAAAAGAAACTAAGCATATTACTTTCTTACTTCTAACAAAAATATTTAAAAAACACATATCCAGTTTCTTTAACATTGAGAGACTTAAGTGTTACATGTTTTAATAGGAGGCACTGCTGGTGGAAGACCCAAAATAATAATGCACACCACAGCCCTCAGCCTTCTAAGTTATAAGAGTTTACTCAAATAGCATGTTTTTTGTTGTGTGTGGGTCTGTTTTAAAAGAGCAACAGAACATAATTTCTCTAATCATCAATCTTCAGGATATAGGTAACCAAGAACTCATTATCTAATAACGACAAGACTTTCCATTGCACAACAGATACATAATTTGAGTTTTGTACCTTCACACAAATTCTGAAGGTAATATCATTTATAAAACTAGTAGGCAAATGTATAACATTTTTAAATAGTAAAAACTCATGATAAATATCTCCCATGCCAAAGTATTACCATATTACACTCTGGCCACCATATATATTAGTTTCACGGTTAGAAAGCAGAATCTAAACCCTTCAGGCAAAGTTACGTAAACAATTCAAGAAGTCTGCTTTGAAATCTTCATGAATTTAATGAGAGGCTTAGTTCCATAAATAAAAACAAGTTAGTAGTAATAGATACCAATGATTGCCAAAGTGAAATCTTCATGTAGAGTAACATTTTACAAAAGTTACCATATGATATGTTCACACAAAACAAAAATCAAGTTTAGCACTGTAATTCATATTTACCAGAATAAATTCTACTTTTTAAAAAGTAAAACTGTATTCACAGGAAAAGGACTAAAGTGCTAAAATTTTTATAATTTTCCATGATCACTCAAAATGCCTAATGTAATTAATATGGTGAACTCCTAAATCATATTTTAAAGTGATGATTAAAAAAAAAAAAAATGCCTTTTCCCCAGACTGAAAAATTTTACTTATACTGATTTAATGGGGGAATGTTCCTTTGGTTATTAAATACGCAAAATCACAGAACCACAAGAAACTGAGAAAAAATACTTAAGGTTTCCTATTTAACACTACATCTTAAATGTCCAAACCTACACTAAAAGCTACAAAAGAGGAATTCCTAACAAATGTCTAGGCTCTCCTTTAAAACAGCAGCCAAGTCACATGAGAAAAGTCTTACTATGTAAACATCAACAACTTTAACTTAAGTGTCAAAATACAGTAGCAAAACTCAATACCAAAACACTGATCAAAAAAAAAAAAAAAGAAAGAAAGAAAGAAAGAAAGAAAGAAAGCGAGCAAGAAAGAAAAAGAAAAAAACCTATCCTAAATCTTTAGGAAGCATGGGAAGCACTGGTGGAAAAGTGTACTTAAGCTCTGCCAGAACAGAAATGATCCATGCATGACATTCATTTCACACACAAGGTTTTTCAACAATTCTCTCCAGCATTTAGGTCCATTCCTCCACCTCCAAGAAAGACAAAGACAATATAGAAACCACCTTCAGAAGGCAGCAGTCTAAGAAGCTAGCTGGTCTGTGCCCATATTTATGTAAACACAGTCAAGAATCTATACACACATAAAAGCAAAAAACTGAAATCTGTACAAGTCAACAGTGAAGTGTAAAAGTAATGTACAGTATCTAGCTTCTTATAGATGGTATAAAACTTATTATTAATTATTAGCACTTTAAAAAGATTTCATGTTACAGAGCATAAGGGATAACTCACTGAGTACAAAACAATGCAATAAATAGGGACACTGTTAGCCTGTTTGCCCAGAAGTAACTTGCGAAATCATTACATATGTATATAACAGAACTCATAAATCTCACATTCATGATGACAACTAAAGACTAAAATACTAAAGATTCTGACTGGGAAGGCAGAAAGAAATGGACTACAGAGCATAAGAGATCTTTCAAGAAACAAAGTGGAAAAGAGAAGACAATGCAAAATTGTTATCACTATTGCTTAACTTCTCAGTTCTAAAAATTCATACTACTCCAAATGAAAACTCTGTAAGATTGCTTAGACTGATAAATCGCAACCTGCCGCTTGGTTAGAAAACCCTTATGTGGACTTCAAAAACTGCAAGGATCACTAAAAGCAACCAAAATCTCCCCTGGCAAAAAAGGCCTGGCAGAAGTCAGACAAAGCACATGAGCAAAAGGGCTCCTTGGCTTGAGGACTCCAAGTTAAGTTAATGTTCTTGACAATCAGAGGTCAAAGACCAAATCTAGGTTGTCTACCATTGTATCCTCTCAAGCATAGCACATAGTAGGAACTCTTATTTACAGAATGAACATATATTATCACATGTCCATGATCCCAAAATACATGAAAGTCCACAACTTCTCAAGACAAGACTGTCTACATAAGAAAGTAAAACAAAACAAGACAAAACAAAACAAAACAAATAAACAGGTAGCTTTGCTTCAAGTTTACTTATTTACCATACTCAATTACAGTGAACATTTTAGGTAACTGACTTTTTTCAAGTTTTATTTATTACAGTGGAAATCAACTATACTTAAAGAATACTTAACCACACCCACACTTATCTGAGCTACTTCTTTACGATTAATACTGGCTCTAAAAACTAAACTGGTACTATGATTGGTTTGATCAGCCGGTTAAATAATCGTGAGAACAAATGGTTGTATCATAGGATTGATTCTTCAGAGGAATCAAACTCATGACTTTTCCCCTCTATAACTTGAGATTGCAACCCTATACTCCAGCCAGTTCAAAGGCTTCTAGACAGTTGCTTATGTGAGCCACCAGTCACATGGGTCCAGCCATGGATTATGGCTGGTTTGGCATAAATCCATCAATTTTTTACGGACAGCAAGTCAATTCCATCATCTCCAAATGTGAAGAATAATTTTTAAACTGCCAATAGGGAAACACAGATGGCTTCCCTAATAAAAGCAGCCTAAATGCAATCTAAATACATACTTTTTCCCTTTTTGTGTACTATAATTTACTACTGGACTATATGGAACTCTCAGAAAAAACACATGCTATAGCATAACCAATAAGCATCACCCAAAAATTTATGAATGACTAAACAAAAATCTACATCCATTAAGGCTATCCTTTTCTATGACAAATCTCAAGCCTGATAAAAGCTACTGGATGAGTAAGATGACAAGGCATAAGCTTGGAAATACCTCAGGAAATACTATAGAACTAGACCTCAAAAATGTTCCTTTGATTAGAAGTGGAATTACACAGGTGACTAAAAGGATCTGCTTTCCAGTATTTCACCACATATTTCAGCTCCCACATCTCAAAATATCTTGTTTCTGCTCTTGCTACTGGTTTGTTTTGAGAAGGTACAAACAACTTTAGCATGCGTCTTCTTCAAATTGTTAAGAGGGCCTGTATATTGTTTTTGGTCAACACACAAACAAACCTACTGATCTTCAACGTACCTTTAGTCAATAAAAACCTACTACATCCTGAAAGAGGGTACTTTGTAATTTTTATATATGAAGAAAATGAGAATGCACCATCTATCAGTATCATATATGAAAAATGCAATGTTTGGACTGATGATCTCTGACTTTAAAACAGTAAATGATACAATCACGATTTTAGAATCTGATATTCTTAAATGTAATTCAGTAGTGAAACACCATATTCTAAAGGGCATGTATAGCAATACAGCAAATAACATTTAGTTCACAATATTCAATATCTAATCGATGTATAATTATTGCTAAACTACCCTGTGGTTTTTATCAGGTATGTTTCTAATTGTGTCCATCACAATTTCTAGATTGTATTGGAATCTCTATTCATAGAAATTTCTTCATTGCTCACACAAAAGGAAGACTTATGAAAACGCACATAAATGTTCTGCATTTGAATGGTAAGAAGCTATAACTTGAATGCATTCAGACCTGTAGCAGGCTGTTGCTGCTGTGTAAGTGTTGCAGCCATGGCAACGGCTGCTGCGTTTGGCATGGTGCTGAAAGGGGTGGGTCCAGTAGTAACTCTGGGTGCATTCTGCCACTTCTTGGCTTCTGCTCGCCTGGCTTCAAACACATCTACTGCATCTCCCAAGAACATTTTCCTGTAGCCAAGGTACTGTTCTTTAAGCACCTAGAGGAAAGCAAAAATAAGTAAATACGTAAATAACAACAACAACAAAAAATGGTCAATCAAGTTCTCTGTTGACTTTTGTAATATAACTATGAAATAAGTTACCAAAGACAGAAAAGACACTGTCAATATTATATAAACAAAGTTCATAGTTCCAGAGCAGGAAGAATCACAGGTTCATAAAGAGGTCTGGTTTATACAAGACAATATCTGCCTTGATTAAAGTATTAGTAAGAATTATTCTGTTTTAAACCAGAATTGTTAAATACTTTATTTAGTCTAATTTAGACAAGTTTCATGCAACTTTTTTTCAAGAGATACAGTGTTTTCATATTTCCTACCTTTCTTAGAAGAAACTTATAATTAAAAGCTATTTTATCCTTTGGTGTGGATGTCAGTATTTGATGTTTCAGCTCCAAATTTTGCTACCATTATAATAAACTAAGTGGGCTTGCCACGGACTGAAAACTGAGGAAAGTGTGGAGTCAGAAATAGGATATACAATGTAAGAAAAAAAAATCTAAAGCATATTGTCCTGTCTCAAATCCATCCTACCTTCTCCTGTGCAATTCCATGCCGCAGTTATACACTGTTTGGCATCAGTAACACATCCATTTTAATTTTAGCTCCACTTCACATAATGGGAAATAAAGAACTACTTTACTGATTCGAAAAAGATAAACCATTAAAAAGACCTGATACCAGCCATAATTATTATAACTAGTTGCTAAAATTAACAAATTTGTTAATGTTACTGAGGTCTGGCTGTCTAAACAGATTATCTAGTGAAAAACAAAACAAAAAAACATTTCTTGTGAGTTTTAAGTTTTTTTAATTTATTTGAGAGGCACAGTTAGAGGAAGGAGAGAGCTGTCTTCCATCCTCTGGTTCACTCCCCACATAGCAACAACAGCCGGAGCTGGGCCAATTTGAAGCCAGGAGCCAGGAGCTTCCTCTAGGTCTCCCACATGGTACAGGGGCCCACTTGGGTCATTGTTCACTGCTTTCCCAGGCCATAAGCAGTGAGCTGGATTATAAGAGGAACAGCAGGGACACAAACCGGCACCCATATGGAGGCTTAGTCTACTGCGCCACAGCTCAGACCCCAAGGTTTCTTTTAAAAATGAACAAACCTAGAACTTAGTTTACGCTGTGGCGTAGGGGGTTAAAGCCCTGGCCTGAAGCACCAGCATACTATATGGGCGCTGGTTCTAGTCCCGACTGCTCCACTTCCGATCCAGCTCTCTGCTATGGCCTGGGATAGCAGAAGATGACCCAAGTCCTTGGGAGCCTGTACCAATGCGGGAGATCTGGAATAAGCTCCTGGCTCCTGGCTTCAGATCTGCACAGCTCCAGCTGTTGCAGCCATCTGGGGAGTGAACCAGCAGATGGAAGACCTCTCTGACTCTACCTCACTCTGTAACTCTTTCAAATAAATAAAATAGATCTTAAAAAAAAAAAAAAAAGAACTTAGTTTGCTTACTACATCGAGGTGAAAACAAATGGCAACTATTAAATCGGATCACAGAACATCTTTGATTCTTGAGAAGCTATTAATGAAAATTAGGTCAAAATATCATGTTAAATTTATTCAACATAATCTGAGATTGTTTTATGGGACTCTTGACCTCATGATTTAACAGTTATTTACATTACCAAACAATGGTATTTTTTTAAAACCAGAGAAGAGAGTATCATTGGATAAACATGTGTATTTACACATTTACACCTGCAATTAACTTTAAAATACTACAGGAGAACCAAGGCATCCCTGAGTAAAGAATGGATAAAACAGACTCAGCAGGGTCTTGATAATGGTTGAAGTTAGGTGGTGGCACCTGGGCATTCATTACAATAGTGTTCTACTTTTGTGTTTATTTGAAAACCATCACAACAGAAATTAAGGAGGAAAAATATTCACACAGCAGACTTCAAAGGGCCAACACAGAATCATCCCTAACAACTGGAAAATTAAAGTACCATTTATTAGACTAAATTTTCCAGAAAATCTGATAAAAATCCCTCCTTTAAAACAATTGTTTTAAAGCAGAAGGTCTAAAGTATACACTATCATTTCAAAAATGGTGTCATTTAACTTTTTTAAAAAAATTTAAATTCTATTAAAAAGCTTAGTTGAATTAAACTTTTTTAATGGAAGATTAAAAGTGAAACTACTGGTAATCTTGATTTAACTCAATTTATTTAAATTCTGGTTTGGCTACTTTGGATTTTAAAGATATCTGTTAGAAGTCTACACAATTCTGGCCGGTGCCGTGGCTCAAAAGGTTAATCCTCCACCTAGCGGCGCCGGCACACCGGGTTCTAGTCCTGGTCGGGGCGCCAGATTCTGTCCCACTTGTCCTTCTTCCAGGCCAGCTCTCTGCTGTGGCCCGGGAGTGCAGTGGAGGATGGCCCAGGTCCTTGGGCCCTGCACCCCATGGGAGACCAGGATAAGCACCTGGCTCCTGCCTTCGGATCAGCGCAATGCGCCGGCAGAGCACGCTGTTGGAGGGTGAACCAACAGCAAAGGAAGACCTTTCTCTCTGTCTCTCTCTCTCTCACTGTCCACTCTGCCTGTCAAAAAAAAAAAAGAAGTCTACATAATTCTAAGAATTTAATCACTAATTTATTTTATTGACATTAATTAAGTTGCTTGTATTTAAAAGAAATGTTACAAGAAAGTTTTTTTTTAATGCTGTGGCCAATAAACATTTAAAATAACATGTAAAATTAAGGCTGTGCAAAATTACCTTGCTATTAAGAATGGTTACCTTCTGGTAGTGCTGTGTATGGGGTAAAGAGATGGAAACACCCTCGATGTCCCTCACCAGAGGATGGGCTGGGGACACCATGTACAGATAATGAACTCCTATTTTTTTGGGGGGGGGGAGGGGGGGACAGGCAGAGTGGACAGTGAGAGACATAGAGAAAGGTCTTCCTTTTCCATTAGTTCACCCCTCAATGGCCACTGCGGCCGGCGCACTGCGCTGATCTGAAGCCAGGAGCCAGGTGCTTCTCCTGGTCTCCCATGGGGTGCAGGGCCCAAGCACTTGGGCCATCCTCCACTGCACTCCCTGGCCACAGCAGAGAGCTGGACAGGAAGAGGAGCAACTGGGACAGAATCCGGCGCCCCAACCGGAACTAGCGCCGCGGGTGGAGGATTAGCCTAGTGAGCCGCAGCGCTGGTCATGAACTCCTATTTTAACAACTAAAAATGATGTTGAGGAAACACATATATTAAAAACAAAGTTATTTACAATATCCTGATGAGGAAAAAGTAAAACAACAGATTGCAGAGGGCACCTAGGTCTTTAAAGAGAACAGATACTGTCAATAGTTGTATCTGGGAATGATGATGAATTTTAGTAGTTTTAACTGTAAATTTATTTGTATTGTGAGCTATTTCTATAATAAGTATGGACACATTTATCTCCAAAGCAACAAATACTAATAGTTGAGAATAGGCATCCAGATAGATTTACTGTAAATGAAAACTTACCTTTACATTTTCATGAATAGACTGAAGTTGTGCAGCTAAAGCTACAAATGTTTGATAAATTTTCAGCATTGCCATTGACAAATCTATAAAAGAAAATTAAATTATCATACAGATAGGTAACATAACCAATTTTTTATTATTCGAGTCTAAAGTTTGGTATGGTTAATGTGTAGAAGAAAGTGACTCTATCAGTGTTCTCAAGGCTACAGAAGGTGGCAGGCTCTGGGGACTAGGCAGAGGACATCTACCCAAGCATCCGGGGAACAACGAGGAAGATTTCTGTCCTTGTTACCATAGCAACAATTCACAATAAAGCATCTTATGTTTACAGACAATAAAGATCTAAATAAGGACTTTATGGGAAATTTTCTAAAAGCAGTTTCAGATAACTACTAATAATCTAAAATATCTACTATACAACAACCATAGTTTCTTTCCTGACAATAAAATAGAGCTATCAAAAAATTACCACAGAAAGAATGTTACCTTGTGGGGTTATATGTGAATTATTTGCCTGAGTGGCAAGATGGTTTTCTAGTTCTTCAATCTGCTGTCTGTATTGTTGAAGCTGTACCTCAAACTGCTGAACCAAGATTCTGAAGTAGCTATTAAAAAAAAATTTTTTAAGTAAAATTTAAAAAAACATTTTCTTATATTCAAAACACTAAATATATACATCTCCTCTTGAAGAGGGTTTTTAAATTAGTTTGAGATATTATAATTGATAACAAAAACCCAAACATAATAAATTATAAAGGTATCATTATTCCAGTCCTATTTGACAAACTCACAATAAAGGATTAAGTAATCTATGAAATAGATTAATAATCTTCAAAAGCATGATGGTCATCTGAGACAAGGAAACTTGAACAACTACTAGAGATAAGAAGAGATTAGGGAGACTAAGTGCAACATGAATCCCAAAAAGGATCCTAAAACAGAAAAAGTACAGAAGTGGAAAAATCAACAAAATTCCAGTAAGCACTGTAGTTAATATTACAGCAGTGTTAGTTTCTTATTAATGATAATTATGCTATAGTTATACAATATATGAACATATATATTTCCATATTAGTGGAAATAGGGTAACGGACATAAGGAAATCCTTAGTACCACTGTTTTTGTAAGTTTTCTGCAGGTATAAAATAAATTTAAAATAAAGTTTAAAAAAAGTGCAACTGTTATCCAGATTTTATAACCAAGTACTTACAGTTTTTACATTAGTAAAATTTATAATTCCAAGAATACCAGGAGTTGTGTATGAGTACTACAGAAAATACATGTAATTACTAGTACCATTCTGACAAATTTAATTACAAGAGTGCTGCATAGCTAGAAAGGGACCGGCTGGCACTGCATCTCACTAGGCTAATCCTCAGCCTGCGGTGCCAGTACTCCAGGTTCTAGTCCCAGTTGGGGTGCCGGTTCTGTCCCAGTTGCTCCTCTTCCAGTCCAGCTCTCTGCTGTGGCCCGGGAAGGCAGTGGAGGATGGCCCAAGTGCTTGGGCCCTGCACCTGCATGGGAGACCAGGAGGAAGCACCTGGCTCCTGGCTTCGGATCGGCACAGTGTGCCGGCAGTAGCAGCCATTTTGGGGGGTGAACCAATGGAAGGAAGACCTTTCTCTCTGTCTCTCTTTCTCACTGTCTAACTTGCCTGTACAAACAAACAAACAAAAGATAGAAAGGGACCTTGAAAAGCACATAAAGACATCCAACTGTTTTTGTCTAAGATATGGGCAACTGTGAAGGCTTTCTGCAATATGAGCTGTGCTGGCAGTGTGAATAACAGGTCAGAGGCATAATATACTAGAGGAAGTCTGGGAAGAAAGCCATCCAACTAACATATTCTAACATATTAAGAATATCAATGTTAATTGCCTGATTTTTGATACTATTGTGGTTTTGTAAGACAACATCCTTAAGTACATACATTAAAGTATTTATGCAAAACAAGTATCCTGACTGTAAATAAACTGAATGGGAAAAAAAAAAAAACATAAAGAAAAGCAAACAAAACATTCATGATACAAATGTTAATATGTAGGAAATTCAGATGAAAAGTAGGTGAGAATTTTTTGCTCTAGCATTGGAAATGTTTGGGAAGTCTAAGACGATATCCTGACAGAAAGTTAATGGGAAAAGTAAAGTGAAGGAACAGGAGTCACACAGTTCCAACACACATCGCACCTCTGTGCGTCTCAGGCTCCTCACTTCTTAAAATGCAATGCCAACAAAAGCAGCTACTGGGGTTTTATAAAAAATATGAGTGAGGACATATATAGCATTAAGCATACTGCTTGGCAAATAGCACTTGGTAAATGTTAGTCATTTTATCCTTAATAACGTGGAAAAACAGAGTCAAGATTCATATCACATTATGGAAACTAGATGGACAAGCTGAGTGATGGAGGTACTCAGGTACGTTTTATGTCTCCACATTTTCTCTTTTTCCTTCCTGAAAAAAAAAAACCTATATAAATAATTAAAAGCTATCCAAATAAATAAAAAGGTTAGTCTATATTTAGTATGATGACCTGTTTAAAGATGAGACTATCACAAGATTATTTTTAATTTAAAAAGTTCTAATGGGTAAAAATTAAGTTATTACTACCTGTAAAACTTATTAAAGTAACATTTACATGAAGTGTAACTGCATATTAGTGGTTAAATTCATATTTTAGCCTTTACTTACTCTTCAGTAAAATGGCAATAACTATCCCCTTAGGGATTTAATTTAAAAATCTATGCAAAGTGCTTATTAACCTAACATTTTTATGAGATTAAAATTTTTTTTTTATTAGACAGGCAGAGTTAGACAGTGAGAGAGAGAGAGAGAAAGGTCTTCCTCCCATTGGTTCACCCCCCAAATGGCCGCTATGGCCAGCATGCTGCGCCGATCCGAAGCCAGGAGCGAGATGCTTCCTCCTGGTCTCCCATGGGGTGCAGGGCCCAAGCACCTGGGCCATCCTCCACCACCTTCCCGGGCCACAGCAGAACCTGGCACCCATGTGGGATACCGGCGCCACAGGCAGAGGATTAACCAAGTGAGCCACGGCATCAGCCCCTAAAATTCTTTTTTTAAAAATAATTCCATTTGCTTCATTTATTATTTTAACTCGTAGCACTTTTGCATCTGATGAGGAAGTTGTAGCACAGAAATATCCTCAAATTTGAGTTTGTGTCTAAGTTGTCCCACTGGTTCACCCAGTTTTTTTTTCCCAGAAACCTCTTATTTAAGGAATAAAAAACTTCATGCATTTCATAAATACAAATTTAAGAATATAGTGAAAAATCCTTAACTTGCATTTCTGCCTTCTTAAAGCAAGAATGATTTAAGAAACTCCAGTAACTTACTCAGCAGGAGCTGTGTTTTCATGTTGAAGTCCAGGTGGTGTTTTCTGGGTTCTTAAAGCTATTTCAGCATTCTTTAACTCCTAAAGGGGGGAAAAAAGAGGCCAATTTAGAGCTAGGCTAAAATTACCAAATATCTCTGGGTTGGAACTTCAAATAGTGCCCCTGCTGGAGGTTCACACCGGAAGAACTTAACTATGGATGAAGCTGCTGCTCAACAAACTGTTGAAATTTCTTCTGAGAAAACATAAAAAACAAACTTTGTGATAACATCCTAACAAGATGCTGATCTATTTTAAGAACTACAGATTTCTGCAGGACTCATGAGTAGGATCCATAAAGTTTACTTATTCACAGTGAGGTTATGCTACTATTTAAAAATTTTCAATACACCAATGCAAGAAATACCATTTTACAAAAAAGCAAGATATAAAGCTGAAGCTGATGTTGATGTTGGCAACAATTAACATCTGGGTGCTTCCCTGTTGCTATGTGTGTCACTTTAAGTCAGGCAGTAAGGGGATGCAACTTTTTAACTGTAACTCGGCCAAAATTTGTATTTAGAGGCCTGTTGATGTCTTTTCTTTTACAAAATTTTTGTCCTCAAGAAAACCAGAATTACATTTTTTCCTAACAGATTAACTTGGTGTAGTGTATACTTTGTTATCAAAATACTAATACAGCTTTGGGATCATGAATCGGTAAACATTAAGTGTGAAAAAGCATGATCCGTACATTCCGTACGATTTCAGTGGTGTACAAGTAGATGACTGTGCACACACAGGACCCAGGAGACTGTTTTGAAAAGAGAAAACAATAAAAATAACCATTATGGTAATTTAAAGTATATGAACTATATGGTTTTCTTATACTATATCTATATAAAACTTTGTGACAAAACAAACTTTTATTTCCATTTTGTAAAAACTAAACATCTTATGGTAAAATGGCTGTAAGTTAGTATACCTGAGCAGTTTCTACTTTTAATTTGTCAATATTCAGAGTATTTCTTTGTAATCCACTAGCAGCCAATGACAGAAGCTGCTTCAGAGCTTTAATATCTTCTTGGACTTTAAGCATTGCTTTCGAAGACATTCTACTAATTTCTTCTTGGACTTGTTTTTGTTCCTTCACAAATTTCCTTTAAAAAATACATAAAACTGATTAAAATATATATATATATCTTTGGTTTCCAACAGGGGAATACAGATATTTAAAACAGGCTGGTCAGGAGGCCGGCGCAGAAACTGAACGTCTGCCTGTAGTGCTGGCAACCCATATGAGTGTAGGTTCGAGTCCCAGCTGTTGAACTTCATCCAGCTCCCTGCTAAATGTTCCTGGGAAAGCAGTGGAAGATGGCCCAAGTCTTTGGGCCCTTGCACCCACATGGGAGTCCCAGAAGAAGCTCCTGGCTCCTGGCTCTGGCTGGCCCAGCCCTGGATGTTGCAGCCATTTGGGGAGTGGATGGAAGCTCTCTCTCTCTCTCTCTCCTCTCGTATATCTGCCTTTCAAATCAATCATTCTTTTTTTTTTTTTTTAAGATTTATTTTATTTATGAAAGACAGAGTTACAGAGAGAGGTAGAGAGATATAGGTCTTCAATCTGCTGGTTCACTCCCCAGATGGCTGCAACAACTGGAGCTGCACTGATCCAAAGCCAGGAGCCAGGAGCTTCTTCCATATCTCCCATGTTGGTAAAGGGGCCCAAGGACTTGGGCCATCTTCTGCTATCTCAGGCCACAGCAGAAAGCTGGATAGGAAGAGGAGCAGCTGGGTCTCGAACCGGTGCCCATATGGGATGCCGGCACTTCAGGCCAGGGCTTTAACCCACTGAGCCACAACACTAGCCCCTCAAATAAATAAATTAAAAAAAAAAAATGTTGATGAGAGTTCAAGTATTTTAAGAAACAAAAACTAAAAATTTGTTAACAGTTCCCAACACTTTTTATACAAGGACAGTTTTATACAAGGACAGAATTTCAATTCTTCCAGTGCTTTTATTCTGACTTTTAAATTTGTTTGTTTGTTTTTTTTTTTTTGACAGGCAGGAGTGGACAGTGAGAGAGAGACAGAGAGAAAGGTCTTCCTTTGCCGTTGGTTCACCCTCCAATGGCCGCCACGGCCGGCGCGCTGCAACCAGCGCACCGCACCGATCCGATGGCAGGAGCCAGGTGCTTCTCGTGGTCTCCCATGGGGTGCAGGGCCCAAGCACTTGGGCCATCCTCCACTGCATTCCCTGGCCACAGCAGAGAGCTGGCCTGGAAGAGGGGCAACCGGGACAGAATCCAGTGCCCTGACCGGGACTAGAACCTGGTGTGCCGGCGCCGTAAGGCGGAGGATTAGCCTAGTGAGCCGCGGCACCGGCCCTAAATTTGTTTGTTTTTATTTATTTATTTTTTTTTCTGACAGGCAGAGTCAGACAGTGAAAGAGACAGAAAGGTCTTCCTTCCATTGGTTCACCTCCCAAATGGCCGCTATGGCCGGCGCAGTGGTACCCATCCGAAGCCAGGAGCCAGGTGCTTCCTCCTGGTCTCCCATGAGGGTGCAGGGCCCAAGGACCTGGGCCATCCTCCACTGCACTCCCGGGCCACAGCAGAGAGCTGGACTGGAAGAGGAGCAACCAAGACAGAACCAGCACCCAAACTGGGACTAGAACCCGGGATGCCAGCGCTGCAGGCAGAAGATTAGCCTAGTAAGCCACAGCGCTGACCTAAATTTGTTTTTAAAAATATTTATTTATTTATTTATTTGAAAGACAAAGTTAGAGAGAGAGAGGGAGATACACAGAAAAAGAGGCTTCCGTCCACTGCTTTACTCCCCAAATAGTGCAACAGTCAGGGCTGGGCCAGGCTGAAGCCAGGAGCTTCTTCCAGGCTTCCACATGGGTACAGGGGCCCAAGGACTTGGGTCATTTTCTGCTGCTTTCCAAGGTCATGAGCAGGGAGTTGGATCAGAAGAGGACCAGCGAGGACTCAAACCTGCGCCCACATGGGATGCTGGAACTACTGATGACAGGTTAACCCGCTGCACCACAGCACTGGCCTCCTTAAAAAGCATTAAATTTGTTTATTTAAAGATTTACTTATTTATTTGAAAGGCAGAGTTAGAAAAAGGGAGATAGATAGAGATCTTCTATCCACTAGCTTACTTCCCAGATAGATGCAAGAGACAGGACTGGGCCAGGCCAAAGCCAGGAGTCAAGAATCCCATCCTGGTCTCCCCCATGGGTAGCAGGGGCCCAAGCACGTGGGCCATTCTCCACTGCTTTCCCAGGCACATCAGCAGAGACCTGAATTAGAGGTGGAGCAATCAGGACTCAAACCAGTGCCTGTATGGGAAGTGGAGTCACAGGCAGCAGTTTAATCTGCTGCAACACAACACCAGATCTAGCACTGAATTTTTAATTTGAGTTAAAATGTTTAGGAGGAAGAGGTGTCCCCCCCCTAAAATGTATTCTAGAATTCCTCAAGTATTTCTTATCTAATCATATTTGACACTTACTGGAGATTTTCAACATCCTGGCAGATGACAGGAGGCAGATTTTCATCCTTCAGTGCTTTACTGTCCCTAGGAAAAATACCACAAATGTGTTAAAACCACTGGGATCTTTAATAGCTGACAATTGAATTTTACCACAGAATGTGTCAAGATACAAGAAAACAACAAATGTTGCCCCCTCATAGCTTCTTTGGATGACTTCAAAATTCTCTATTAAGAATAATAAATTTCTTATAAGAAGATTTAGTAATTCATTTAACATGGAAATTCCTTGTCTAAGAAGACTGGCATCTATTATAAATATGCATAAAAACATTTAACTAAATGTCTAAGAAAGGAAATCCAAAATTACTAGACTGGAAGATACACTGAACTAAGTTCCTTCTGACTCAGGTACGACCAACATTTTATACAGTTCAAAAATACTAAAGCATTCATTAAACAAAGGCTATAAAACTTCATGAGTCGTTCAAAATACTTCACTATTTTTTTTTTTTTTTGACAGGCAGAGTTAGACAGTGAGAAAGAGAGACAGAGAGAAAGGTCTTCCTTCCGTTGGTTCACTCCCCAAATGGCCGCTACAGCTGGCACGCTGTGCCAATGCGAAGCCAGGAGCCAGGTGTTTCCTCCTGGTCTCCCGTGCGGGTGCAGGGCCCAAGGACCTGGGCCATCCTCCACTGCTTTCCCGGGCCACAGCAGAGAGCTGGACTGGAAGAGGTGTAACCGGGACAGAACCGGCGCCCCAACCGGGACTAGAACCTGGAGTACTGGTGCCGCAGGTGGAGGATTAGCCTAGTGAGACGCAGCGCTGGCCAATACTTCACTATTTTACAACTTTAATCTGTTCTTCAATATGTACTAGAATGAGAAAATAAGACCTAATAATTAATAGCTTATGGGAATCCACAAATATTTAATGAGGACAGGAACAATGTAGCCTGCTATGATGGAATCACGAACTCCATTTCATATCCCTAGGCAGATCTCAGTCTCCCTTAGTCTTCAATTACAAGCAAGTTGAGCATCCCTAGTCTGAAAATTTTAAATGTGAAATGCTGGAACTTTTTCAGATCAGAGATGCTTGACTGGTAGATTCCATGCAAATATTCCCATACCCAAAATCTGAAGGTCAACCTGTAACAGGCCAAAACATACACAGGCTATCTGTGAGGAGTGAATCTGATCATTTATTTACAAATGCTTTATTTAATGTTCATACAAATTAAATGAGAAAATATGAGTGGTAATAAAAATAATGATTATCTTCAAACATATATAATGAATATGGAGGCTACTCTCCCCCTTTGCTGAAATAAAAAGGCACTGGCACAGTAAATTTAAATTTAAAAAAAAGATACTCCAAGAGGAAAGTTCCTTGACTTGCCTAATATTTAGTAAGTCAAAATTATAAACACCCATATTTCACTTATTTGTATTATTTGGGGAAACAGCAACCACCTTTCTAGAAAGAAATGGTTGTAAGTTATAATCTTTCCAGGGCAAATGTTTATTATTTTATTTTTGACAAACACTGATTAAAATTTTTTTCCTACATGTATACACAGTTACATTTACTTCCAACTATACCATCTGCCTACAATATGATAAATAAAACTTTCAAACTGTTTAATTAATTAAAATATCTTAAAATGTAAACTTACTCTGGTCTGGTTCCTGTTTTATCACCTAGAAAATTCAAAAGTTTCATATTAACAAAGTATTCCAAATATAAATTTTAAATTAAGGTATAAACTATTAACCATTTCCTACCTAGCCTCTTATGCATCATGCAATGTCCTGACTTGCCATCAACCAAGAATATAGCATAATATGGCAATAACTGTCCACATAAACTTTTATTTTTTTAAATATTTGTTTATTTGAAAGGCAGTTAGAGAGATCTTCCATCTGCTGGGTCACCCACCAAATGACCACAGTAACCAGGGCTGAGCCACACCAAAGCCAGGAGCCTGGCTCTCCATCGAGGTCTCCCATGGGGGTGACAGGACCCGTCATCTGCTGCCTTCTTACACACATTGGCAGGGAGCTGGATGGGAAGTGGAGCAGTCCAATGGCCGCCGCGGCCGGCGCACCGCGCTGATCCAATGGCAGGAGCCAGGTACTAATCCTGATCTCCCATGGGGTGCAGGGCCCAAGCACTTGGGCCATCCTCCACTGCACTCCCTGGCCACAGCAGAGAGCTGGCCTGGAAGAGGGGCAACCGGGACAGAATCCGGAGCCCCGACCGGGACTAGAACCTGGTGTGCCGGCGCCGCAAGGCGGAGGATTAGCCTAGTGAGCTGCGGCGCCGGCTTTACCTGATAATTTTTAAGGTCCTTTTAGAACAGAATACCATATCCAATGACCTGAACTGCTCCAACCTGACTATTTATTTAAACAATTGTCCCAATGAACCTTCTCATTTGTCTTGAGTAAGAGTATCTTTTGCATCACACCCTGAACAAAAATGTACATATTTAAGAAAAAAACAACTTTGCTGGTCATGTAGGTAAAACATGTCACTTCATCATAATCATAATTCATATTTTTATGGTGCTAGTGAAGTAAAACATTCTCTTCAAATGCTTATTAGGCAAATATACTTCTCCTTTTGTGAACTGCCTACTCACATGATTTGTAAGTTTTTATTACTGATTTCTATGAACTACTTTAACAGATTAATTCTCTCAGATATCAATTTCATATATTTGTAATTTCTAAAATAGACTAATAACATCTTGACTTCAGCAATGCTAACATGGATAAAAAAATAAAGCATTTTACTTTCAATCTTTTACATTTCACCTTTGGATATGAGATTTCATTTTTTACCTCTTTCAGCTGACTATAATTTATTTTTCTGTATTTTATTTCTGAAACTGGCACCCATCTTTTATAAGTAATGTTTTAGATTTGATAAGACAGTAATAAAAATAATTTTGTTTTTCAAAATAATTCATCATTTTCTAAATTAATGTATTGCTTAATATTGTTTATTATACTTTATAAATGTATGTGCTCACAAGTATGTATATATAAAACTTGGGCTTATTTCTGGATTAACAGAAATTAATCTAGTTTTGCCTCAGTAACAGACATGAACTACTACAAAACTTCCTAATAGTTCCCCACATCTATTCTTGCCTTTCTCTACATTTTTCTACATGACTGTCACAACATTCTTAATCTTAAAATATAAATCTCTTTAAAATCCTTGAGTAGGGATAGGCATCTGGTATATAGCAGTTATGATATCATTTAAGACTCCCAAATCCTCTATTGGTATGCCTGGGTTCTAGTCCCAGCTGCCCAATTCCAGCTTTCGACTAAGGCGGACCCTGGAAAACAACAGGTGATAAATCAAGTAGTTAGGTCCTTGTCACCCATGTGAGGGGCCTGTATCGAGTTTCTGGCTCCTGACTTCAGCCTGGCTCTTGTGGACATAAGGGGAATCAAGCAGCAAATGCGATATTCTAGCCTGCCTCTTTCTCTGCCTTTCAAATAAAACAATACAAAAACCCTTCAGTAGATTCCGAATGCCCTCAATATAATGACAAAACTGAACGTACCACACAAAGCTCTTCAGGACTTCTGGAATGTGACCTTTCTGGTCCCTGGACACACCTACAATTCTACCAGTCCATCTCACCTCTAATAGGCCTCTTGCTCCATGCTGGTCCCTCTTCACTGAATGCTGCTTCCTACCACTTTACCTGATTAAATCCCACTGATAACTGCCATCCAAAGCTAACTGATTAACACAGAGCTACTAGAGAAAAAGAGAAACTGGTTATATTATGGAAGAGAAGAGAGAAAAGGAAGAGAATTCCCTGACATGAGTAACAGATGAAGGAGAACTGGGACCATCCAACCCTATGTATTCTCTTTGTTCAACACCACCGAAGGCATGCTATGAGTACAGGGCGATGATGGCAGGGAAGAAAGAGAGGGAGCTTAATTTATTCATTTCTCTTACTTCTCTACAAAGTAAAAAAATAGGAACAAACACCTAAGTGAATTACTGACATGGACAAATGCTTCTAATGTATTATATGACAAAGAATAGATTACATAACAATATATATACTATGATCCTTTTTTAAAATATATATCAATATACATATTGATAGCTAAAAGACCACATGTACATTCAAATCTAAGTTATCTATAAACATAAAACCTTAAACAGTCAACACACACGCAATCTGTGACACATGAAGATAATGTAAAACTTAAAAGTAAAAACTGTACTACTGAAAAACAAATGTTCTTCAAAACAGGAATTTTTAGTAACCTGTAAGTTCCCAAACTGTTAGAACATAAAATTACTTACTCTTTTTATCTGATGAACTGCTAAAATCTATTCCACCAAGGCCTTCATTGCCTGCAGTTGAAGTAGCTGTTGAAGTTCCCAAAGTCAAGCCTAAAGCATTCTGTCCAAGTCCTACAAATGAAACAAACATCATTTCCAGCTTCATTGAAAGAGCTAAAACATCCTTAATGGAAAGCCATTCCTAGATCTGGGACTTAAAAGCAAGCTGCCTGACAAGGGAGTTAAGCTGTAAATGTACCAAGATTATTTAACTGCCACTTATTTTAATATATAAGACAAGATTCTCTGGAACAGTTTACAGGCTCCCTATTAAACAGGCTCTTTTCACTTCCTAATCAATCAGAGAATACTGAGAAAAGAGTAAAATGTATTTCTAAAATACAGCAAAGATGTTGAATTATATATAAAAAACATTTTATAACTCAGTAAAAAGAACAAGCAATCTGCACAAAAGGCCAAGAGAAGGATAAACTAAACTTAAATATAAAAATTTACCATTCTGAAGAATAAGTGCCATCAATTACCTGATGTAGCTGTGTTTGTGCCCTGGAAAAGCGAACCTCCCAAACCAGTTAAGCCGCCGCCTAGAGAAAGGCCTGTGGATGCAGTTGTAGTTGTGGCTGCTGTTCCACTCAAACTATTCAGAGTAAACCCTGTGGATGCTACAAAATTGAAACAATAAGCCTTCTACAGGCAACAGTATTTAAGAACACCATAGAAAAACCCAAGAAACAAAACAAAAAATTATTTCCGTAAGAATTGACTTTGGAAAAACTGCTTGCTAAAAATAAAATTATACATACTTATAAGAATAAAGAGAAATAGTAACTTCACAGCAAAAATCACTGGCAGAAATAAAGGCTTTGGATCGTTATTAGAATGGTACCAAATAGCTGATTCCAGAAAGCAGTAAAAAAAAATGTTTTAATCCAGGTCACCACCTTCATCTTCAAAATTAAATGAATCTTAAAGCAGGCAAGGCTTATGCAAAGTGTTTATCCTTCTGTCACCAAATGGCTCCTTGAAAACAAGACATCAGTAGCTTTACATTTTATCTCTCTGACCCTCTCCTGCCCTGCTATACTCTAACTACAGAGACCATTGGGTCTGCTGTTTTAATGCCTAGTGCTGACTTCTGACCCTTACAAATCAACAATTAAGTAGGTCAAAATTGCTGAATAGGAGTGGGTATATGGTACAGTAGTAAAGTTGCCATTTAGGATATCCGTATCCCACTTTGGAATACCTGGTTCAAATTCTACCTCCTTCACTTTTACAGGAAATATTTTAATTTTTTTTCTTAGACTTATTTATTTATTTGAAAGTCAAAGTTACACAGAGAGGATAGGCAGAGAGAGAGAGAGAGAGAGAGGTAGATAGGTAGGTCTTCCATTCACTGGTCCGCCCCCCAATTGGCCACAACGGCTGGAGCTGTGCCAATCCCAAGGCAGCGGCCAGGAGCTTCTTCCAGGTGTCCCACGTGCGTGCAGGGGCCCAAGGACTTGGGCCATCTTCTACAGCTTTCCCAGGCCATAGCTGAGAGCTGGATCGGAAGTGGAGCAGCTGGGTCTTGAACTGGTGCCCATATGGGATGCTGGCGCTTTGGGCCAGGGCATTAACCAGCTGCGCCACAGAGCCAGCAAGATTTATTTATTTATTTATTTATTTGAAAGGCAGAGTTAGAGAGAGAGATCTTCCATATGCTGGTTCACTCCCCAAATGGCTCCAACAGCCAGGCCTGGCCCAGGTCAAAGCTAGAAGCCAGGAGCTTTCTCCAGGTCTCCCATGTGCTTGCACAGGAGGAATTGGACCATATTCTGCTGCTTTTTCAGGCGCCATTTAGCAGGGAGCTGGGTCAGAAGCAGAGCAGCAGGACTTAAACAGGTGTTCACATGGGATGCTGGCACTGCAGCTGGTGGTTCAACCCACTGTGCCACAGCGCCAGCCCCATAGGTCCTCCATTCTTGATCCAGCTTCCTGCTAATGTGCGCCCTGAGAGGCAACAGATGATGGCTCAAGTACTTGGGTCTCTGCCACCCATGTGGGCAACCTGGCTTGAGCTCTGGGTTTCTGGCACCAGCCTGGTCCAGCCTGTCTGTTGACGGGATTTGAGGAATAAACCAGAGAGAAGAGTTTTACCTACCTGTCTATATGTATCTCTCTGCCTTTCAAATAAAATGAAAATAAGTAAAAAAAAAAAAAAAAATTAAATGCTGAACACTTAAAATGAAAATTTCCAAAACTGAGTTGTGTTTAATAAAGGCAAATATCTGTGTTCTCTAAGCAAATAAAATTTAAACTTAACCATAAATACAAATTTTCTTCCATCCCCCCTCACCTGCTGGAGTTGCCGTCAAAGCAGATGAAAGAGTGAGACCACTGGCTGAGGTAGATGTAATAGGCAGAGCAAATGGTGTGGCAGACGCTGCAGGCTTATTGAATCCTAAACTGAAGCCTGTGGTAGCTGCAGATGTAGTGGCTGGTGTTCCTGTTTTAAAAGACAAATAAATAAAATCCCATTTTACCTGAGTGTATACATAGCATATGGTACTGATTTTAAACAGGATCCCTAAATATTTGTGACCCTACTTCTTATTGACAGGAGGCAGAAGTATGTGTGAGAAAAAAAATACAGAATCTGGGACTAAGTCATGGTGAATACAGAAGAGATAGATAAGTCTTTGGTTAAGAGAAGCAAAAGAAAGCCCAATCAATCCAAGACAACAGTCAATCTCGATTCTACCCTAGATTTATCAAGAACAGCAAATGCTGCTGCTGCTGCTGCTTCCTTCCCTTGATTCTCAGGAGAAACAGTCCCTTCTCTCTATGACCAGGGCAACAATCATCCTCTACTCTGAATCTAAAGTGTATCTACCTGAATCCCCAGTGGCTAGCTCTACCATGTCGTCCCTTTGGACTTCTACATATTTCTGAACAAAAATACTTAAGGGGGGGCTGGCGCTGAGGTGCAGCAGGTTAACACCCTGGCCTGAAGCGCCAGCATCCCATACGGGTGCCGGTTGTAGTCCCAGCTGCTCCTCTTCCGATCTAGCTCTCTGCTAAGGCCTGGGATAGCAGTAGAAGATGGCCCAGGTCCTTGGGCCCTTGCACCCGTGTGGGAGACCCGGAAGCAGCTCTGGCTTGGGATCAGCACAGCTCCAGCCGTTGTGGCCATCTGGGGAGTGAACCAGCAGATTGAAGACCTATATCTCTCTACCTCTCTCTGTAACTCTGTCTTTCAAATAAATAAAATAAATCTTAAAAAAAAAAAACAACAACAACTTAAGGGGCCAGCACTGTGGCTTGGCAGGGAAAGCCACCGCCTGCGGTGCCAACATCCCATATGGGCGCCGGTTCGAGTCCCGGCTGCTCCACTTCCGATCCAGCTCTCTGTTATGGCCTGGGAAAGCAGAAGATGGCCCAAGGCCTTGGGCCCTTGCACCCACGTAGGAGACCCAGAAGAAGCCCCTGGCTCCTGGCTACAGATCAGCACAGCTCTGGCCATTGCAGCCAACTGGGGAGTGAACCAGCAGATGGAGGACCTCTCTCTCTCTCTCTGCCTCTCCTTCTCTCTATATATAACTCTGACTTTCAAATAAATAAATAAGTCTTTTAAAAATAAATAAATACTTAAATAAAGAAACAAGTTCACAAAACTTTGTTAAATTCTTCATCTTGGTCAGTTCAATCATTGAAGCTAGAGATTAGTCTCCCTGACATCCCCTTCTTTAGTCTTAGGCTTTTGTCACAAATCCTGTCAATTCTACTTCAGAAATATCCCTGATAATAGGCATCTTCAAAAACCTTAGTTCAAGCCATCTCTCTAAAGAATTATTACAACAACCTCTTAATTTACTTCTGTGTCACTGGTCTCTCTTAACCTCTAATCTACTCTTGGAGTTATGTCCATTACTTTAAAAACAGCTGATATCCTGGAGATTTTTGCCCAACTTAGGGTTCCTATTAGCTCTAGACTATTTCTAAAATAGTCTGAAGACTTGGCACAAAATATCCTTTTCCTATCTGCTCCCAACAGGCTCCTTAAATCTCCTTTACCAATCCCATCTCTGAATCCTCATCTTTAAGAACAAAGTATCTTTCATATCTTCCTAGGACTTTTTATGCTTGGGCATTTGCCCCTTCCACTCCTCTGTCAGGAATAATGTTACCTGGCCTCCAAATACATCCTACTCTTCTTTCTCTGCCTTTTCAGTACCCTCCCACATCTGTCAGAATATTTATCAGATTACACAAAGACATGTTAAAATACTGACACGCCGCCTTCACCTCACAACAGACTGAATGTCCTGCTGGGGCATTCAGCGGTTCCTTACCGCATCCTCAGCACCATCCTCAGCACCAGCTCCACTGGCTAATACTGGATGTGCAATGCACTATGCATATACAAGGCCACATAGTCAGGAGGGAGCATGGATTCTACAACTCTAGAAAACAAGAGGACTCAACTGCTTGCCCTTATAATAAACCCTGTCCAAAACTTTGGTGGTAGACAGATATGTTACCTCTTCTGCTGCTAACTAGTAAGAGCATCAAGTCTGTCAATCCTTAACTGAATCTCAATTTAAGGGCTTTTCAACATCTTTCATCTTTCATTTCCTTTCACTTTATTTTTACGGAGTATTCACTGTCATCCAGATTCCATGCAGGCTGAAACGCTAGCCATTCACATTCCCTTCAGCAAACCACCACAGACACTATCAGGTTTTTGAGCTGGAAGGGAACCCAAAAGTTTTTAGTCCAACATCCTTACCTTCAAGACAACTTAAGCCCATTGTCTATGGCCTCACAACTATGTACAGGTACAACCGGGTCTTAATTCCAAGACCTCTGGCTTATACTTTTTCAACCAAAGGAAATGAGATGACTGGAAAGTAATGAGAAATAAATTTCCACACTAAAATTCATTTCTGTATTTAAAATACTTTTCTGAATTAACAAGCGTTATCTAAAGTTATCCATATTTTTAAGTGTTCAAATACTGGAAGGGTTTTTTGATATGTCAGTATCTGTGATTTATTTTTAATACTTTATATGTATTCCTCTATACCCCAGCTCTGTGAGACAACAGAAAAAGACTAGAAATACCACTCTACTTATTTAGCTTATTAGAAAATCACACATTTGGGATCTTTCCTCAAAAATTCTTACCCAGAGTTAATCCTGTAGTTAAAGTTGTTGCTATTCCTGGGGACAAAAAGAGAAATAAAATTCAATCAAAAATGAAGATGGCATTTCTAATGGTTTATTTCTCACAAGGATAGACTTGGAATCACACTCTAAGGAAGTGATAATACTTCTATTAAGACCAATACATACAAAAGCTGTCTTCACAACCAGTAACCCAAAATTTTTCCCAAGACAATGGCTCATTATGGGTTGTATGTAATTTAATCAGGGAATATAAAATTGGTGAAATGCAAATAGTTATTGCTTATTACAAAATTAAACAAAGAGAAAAATGTTATTCCACGCTAAACACTGGCACACAGAACTGACTTGAGAGCTAGCAATCCCCATTCTTCCATTTTCTAGGGAGGCTTAAAATGTGCTGCCCTCAAAGCTGGAAGGTCAGTGCAAAGGGTAGTAACACAGACCAACAAGAGACTCTGAGGATAGAGGACAAACAAAACGGAAATAAGAAACTTTTAAATGGCCAGCACCAATGAGACATTATTTTTTAAAGCTGTATTTAAAAAAAAAAAAAAAAAAAAAAACACTTTCCATTACTGTAATGGCCACCAGAAACCTTCAGGTCCTTTACTACTTTTCTTTTTTCCACTAAAACTTTTTTTTTTTTTTGAGAGGCAGAATTAGACAGTGAGAGAGAGAGAGACACGCACACACACACACACAGAGAGAGAAAGGTCTTCCTTCCATTGGTTCATCCCCCAAATGGCCGCTATGGCTAGCACACTGTGCCGATCCAAAGCCAGGAGCCAGGTGCTTCCTCCTGGTCTCCCATGTGGGTGCAGGGCCTAAGCACCTGGGCCATCTTCCACTGCCTTCCCAGGCCACAGCGGAGAGCTGGACTAGAAGAGGGGCAACCAGGACCAGAACTCAGTGCCCATATGGGATGTCAGTGCTGCAGGTGGAGGATTAGACAAGTGAGCCATGGTGCCGGCCAAAACCAGTTTTAATAATACAAAAACTGATACACTTAAGAATGCAAATTATGTTATAGCAAGATGCTGATTGTCCATGTTACATTAATTACTTCCAAATGGGTGAAATTGGCTTAAACAGCAATCTTTTACTAAGACACTGCATAATATAATTAATATGCGAATTTAAATTATCTTAATTCACTATATTTAAAAAGATCTTCAATGGTTTGAGAGAATGAATAAAAGTGAAGGAGAAAAAAGAGACTGAGACAGCTTTCCTTACACTAGATCACAGCCAATGACTGGAGCTGTCACTGGCCCTTATTTCCAAATTCCCACATTTTTTTTCTTTTCATTTTAGTATTTACTATTTTTTTAAAAGATTTTTATTTATTTGATAGGTAGAGTTACAGACAGTGAGAGAGAGACAGAGAGAGAGAGGTCTTCCTTCCGTTGGTTCACTCTCCAAATGGCCGCAATGGCCGGAGCTATGCGGATCTGAAGCCAGGAGCCAGGTGCCTCTTCCTGGTCTCCCATGCGGGTACAGGGGCCCAAGCACCTGGGCCATCCTCCACTGTCTTTCCAGCCACAGCAGAGAGCTGGACTGCAAGAGAAGCATCCGGGACTAGACACCAGCACCCATATGGGATGCCGGCACCACAGGCAGAGGATTAATCTAGTGTGCCACGGTGCTGGCCCCAGTATTCACTATTTTTTAAGGTCTGCTACCAATGATAACCCTTATAAAGGGAGAAACAGCAGAGAACCCAGTAAAAAATAAATGTTCCAAGTACACTCCCTCAAAATGTGACCACTCCTTACCTGTGTTTGATCCTCCTAGAGTGAACCCAGTGGCAGGTTTAGATCCAAAGAGCCCAGTTCCAAAACCACCTGTAGCAGATGTAGTTGCTGGAGTCGCAGTGCTTCCGAGAGTTCCAAAATTGAGTCCCACAGAAGGGTTGCTTGTTTGTGAAAAACATAAAACACAGTCTACTAGAGCCAATATTACTTAAGAAATAGAAATTCTTCAGGGTTATTTCCTTTTGTCTAACATTTCTAACGCATGTTCCTAGGATCCAAGAGGATCTCACAATAAATTAAATTTTAACCAAGCTTAAATATTTTTTCTATTCCCCTAAAAATCAAATCTGCATGTAAAATTAGCTTTAAAAATACACAACCAGGAAATCAGAAAAGAACAGTCAGAATTTCAGACCTCAAGGTAATCAGAAACAGGGAGCACACATATTCTGCTTTCCTCATTTTTATATAAAACCTATTTTTAAATGGACATAAGGAAATTAATGTAGATCACCTTCCTCGTGAACTATTAAAGCACAGTTCACACTAAAATCAACTGTTCTTTCCCAGTTGCTAATATAAAGAAAAGACAAGGGTGGATATTTGGCCTAGTGGTTAAAATGACAGTTAGGAAGCCTGCGTTTGTATCACAATGACTGGATTTGATCCTTAGCGATGGCTCCCCATTCAGGTTTCCTGCTGATGCAGACCTTGAGAGGTAGCAGGAATGTCTCGAGTCATTGGGTTCCCGCCACCATGTGGGAGACCTGAACTGAGTTCCCAACTCCTGACTTTAGGCTGGCTCTGGCACCTATGGACATTAGGAGAGTGAACCAGTAGATGGGAACACACATTAACACACGTGAATGCATGTTCTCTTTCTTTTTCAAATACACAAATTCTAAAAAAAGACATACCCAGAAACAGAAATGCTATTCTAAGACATCTTCATCACCTCTTGTTTGCTATATATAATCAGACTGACAGAAGGGAGTGTGGTATCCTGATACCAAAAAAAAAAAAAAAAAAAAAAAAGGCAAAATAGAACTGGTGAGTGTGGGGGGTACATACTGACAAAAGTTAAAGGCTAAGTGAAATTATCTTCTATCCATGTATTCATCAGTAGAAACCTCTTCAAAGAGTTTTGAAAAACCTAAAAAGAGGCCGGCACCGCAGCTCAATAGGCTAATCTTCCGCCTGCAGCACCGGCACACCGGGTTCTAGTCCCGGTTGGGGCGCCAGATTCTGTCCCGGTTGCCCCTCTTCCAGGCCAGCTCTCTGCTGTGGCCAGGGAGTGCAGTGGAGGATGGCCCAAGTGCTTGGGCCCTGCACCCCATGGGAGACCAAGAGAAGCACCTGGCTCCTGGATTCAGATCACTGCAGCGGCCATTGTGGTGTGAACCAACGGAAAAGGAAGACCTTTCTCTCTGTCTCTCTCTCACTGTCCACTCTGCCTGTCAAAAAAAAAAAAAAAAAAACTAAAAAGAGCAACTGATTAAAAACAAATAAATGTGCACAAAGTTGACCACTTTTCAACTGTTATCATCAAGTCTCGGGGGCTCAGATTTGCTGAGGACAAATCACAAATATAACAAAAAAATCTGACAATGTGATACTTCCAGAATTACAGAAGAGAGTCCAGAAAGAGTATAAAAACATGCATAATATAATGCGAAGACTCACTGTTTGCCTCATAAAAACATAATCATCGGCCAGTGCCGCCGCTTACTAGGCTAATCCTCTGCCTGCAGCGCCAGCACCCCAGGTTCTAGTCCCGGTTGGGGTGCTGGATTCTGTCCTGGTTGCTCCTCTTCTAGTCCAGCTCTCTGCTGTGGCCTGGGAAGGCAGTGGAGGATGACCCAAGTGCTTGGGCCCTGCACCCGCATGAGAGACCAGGAGGAAGCACCTGGCTCCTGGCTTCGGATCGACGCAGTGCACCAGCTGTAGCAGCCATTTAAGGGGTGAACCAACAGAAAAAGGAAGACCTTTCTCTCTGTCTCTCTCTCACTGTCTAACTCTGCCTGTCAGGGAAAACAAACAAACAAACAAACAAACCATAATCATCATGTGAGAAAGCATTTAAAAACTGTTTTTAAATATCTATTTGTTTGAAAGCAGGGTTACAGAGCAAGAAAAGGAAGGACAGAGTGACAAGGATCTTTCATCTACTGGCTTACTCCCCAAATGGCCACTACAACCAGGGCTGGGCCAGGCAGAAGCCAGGAGCCCAGAGCTTCTTCCGGGTCTCCCATGTGGGTACAGAGACCCATGACTTGGGCCTCTTCTTCTGCTTTTCTAGGCACATTAGCAGGGAGCTTGACTGGAATGGAGCAGCTGGCTGCAGGCTGTGTGGCTTAACCAGTTGTGCCACAGGGCCAGTGTTGTGTGCGGCAACAGTGTGTGGCTGGGCTCCAATACCAGCTCTCTGATGTCCTCATACCTGTTTATTGTTACTTATCCTTTCTGAGCCTTTGTTTCCTCATCTGTAAAATAGAAATAACAGTATCCACAACTTCCCTGGGTTTTTAAAAATAAAGTTAGCTAGGGCACATGGGCTTCAGTAAATGTTATAGCTACTGTTATCATTAGAAATATTTACAAATTCAACTGGACACATTATATACAGGGCTTTATGCCAGAACAGCAAAGGGACAGAACTATCACTAAGCGGCTATTCAAGAAACATGTTGTTGGGGGGGAAAGCCATTGTAATCCATAAACTGTACTTTGGAAATTTATATTCATTAAATAAAAAAAAAAAGAAATTAGCATAGAAAAAAAAAGGAAAGAAACATGTTGTTTACCAGGGGATAAAATGACACCTGGAATCCAGGCTAGAATAGTTCTCCAAGTCACACAGGTCCAGGCATCAATTCCGTATCAGCCCAAAGAGCCATCCTGCATACATTTGAGGCCTTGGGAGAGGGGATGATTCAAGCACTACAAATGTATGCCTTCAAAAGATTTATAACCACTGTAGGGCCAATTATAACTAAATACCAAGTGAGGCATAAATCTGAGGCAAAGAGCTGATTGTTATGAGGGGCAAAGTGACAGAATGGCTTAGTAACAAGGCAGAACTTGGGATGGGTCACCAACCCTGAGTAGCAAAAAGACAGGGTGTACTCTAATCCTGTCCTAGTTGATCACGAATTTTAAAAATGTGTATGTGAGCCTCTGGGCATATGAAGGGCAAGGGGAAGCAGAGCAAGGCTGCAAGGTCTTACTGACAACTAAAGCAGAGATCATTCAACATTCAATTAGCTGAATTAAAATGGCATTTTAGAAACATTATTAGCTACAATCAAAACCAAGTGAGAAACAATAAAACAAAACAAAACAAAACAACTAAATGAGAGGGCCGGCGCCGCGGCTCACTAGGCTAATCCTCCGCCTAGCGGCGCCGGCACACCGGGTTCTAGTCCCGGTCAGGGCGCCGGATTCTGTCCCGGTTGCCCCTCTTCCAGGCCAGCCCTCTGCTGTGGCCAGGGAGTGCAGTGGAGGATGGCCCAGGTGCTTGGGCCCTGCACCCCATGGGAGACCAGGAAAAGCACCTGGCTCCTGGCTCCTGCCATCGGATTAGCGCGGTGCGCCGGCCGCAGCACGCCGGCCGCAGCGGCCATTGGAGGGTGAACCAATGGCAAAGGAAGACCTTTCTGTCTGTCTCTCTCTCTCACTATCCACTCTGCCTGTCAAAAAAAAAAAAAAAAAAAAAACTAAATGAGAGTTAAAAGTACAGAATATACATGTCCAGACATGGTAATAGAACTAGAGGGAGAAAAGGATGATATTTGGCTTAGCCCAAGGTAATCTGGTTTTATTTTAGGATTGCTAGGTGTATAATATGGTATAGAATAAATTAGTATTTTTAGGATTTTTTTAAATTAATAAAATTTGAAGACATTCAGTTAGGAAAATAATTATTTTTTTTAATTTTTAAAAATATTTTTAAAGATTTTTAAAAAATTTGTTTGAAAGAGTTAGAGAGAGGTAGAGACACAGAGAGAGGTCTTCCATCCGCTAGTTCACTCCCCAGAGAGCCGCAACGGCCAGAGCTGCACCGATCCAAAGCCAGGAGCCAGGAGCTTCCTCTGGGTCTCCCACGTGGGTGCAGGAGCCCAAGGACTTAGGCGATTTTTTTGCTGCTATCCCAGGCCATAGCAGAGAGCTGGATCGGAAGAGGAGCAGCCGGGAAATAAAACTGGCGCTGCAGGCCAGGGGCCGGAGGAAAATAATTATTATGCTCCCTTTACTACCAAAGCAGTGATTTCATTGTTTTCAGCTGGTGTTAACGACAAAGGAAGAACAAAGTGTTTTTAGATAATGAACTAAAACTTTAAAATTTCTTTACAACTTAAGATAACTGAAGACACTATTAAGTGTTATATAATTGAAGTTGAAAATACTACCAAAGATATACATCAAAATGAAATCTTACTTCACCATAGAAGAGAATTTCCCTAAGAAGTGAAATTAACCTACTTTGAGAAAAAGAAAAGGCAGCCTAGGCCTGACCAATTATTACTTCAACCAAGTGTTATCTCTAAGGACTCCTTTAGGTCTGTTATAGAAAAGCAAAAGTTAGGGCAGCCATTCATGACACCTCCTGGACTCCCACGTGCTCGAGTGCTTGGGTTCCAGCCACAGCTCCACTTCTGACTCCAGCTTCCTGCTAATGTGCACTGGGAGGCATCAGGTGATGGCTCAAGTACATGGGCCCCTGTCACCCAGTGGAAGACTGGATTGAGTTCCTGGCTCCTGGATTTGGTCTAGCCCAGCCTCAGCTACTGTGGGCACTTCTGGTGTGAATCAGCAAATATGAGATCTGTCTGTCCTTCTGCCTTGAAAATAAATAAAATTACAAAGCAGGTGGGGGAGAGGGGAGAGGAGGGGAGGGGAGCAGCTGATTCCATCATGTAAGCATTGTCACCCCAGTTGGCTTTAATGTGGGCCTGGGAGCTAACACACAAAAGCAGTGAGCAAGTGGCAGACATGATGCTAAATACCTTGCTTGCTTCATTTCTTCTCATTCAACAACTCTGAGATGAATGTTAGCATAGCCCTCTTCCAGACGTGGGATCTGAAGCTTGGGAAGCAACACTCTCACACTGATGTACCTTGAGAGACCAAGTCCCCAGGAGGCACGAGGCCATCAGGCCTTCCAGCAGCACTTTAATAAGCAGCTGTTAGACTGTCTCCTTTCATTAATTTATACAAGCCTTTCGACAGCTTGAGTACATTTTTGAGTCTGTTGCTAATAACTCAGTCATTGAACCAGTATTTATGAAAGCCCCTTTTCTATGCCAGGCACTGTCCAAAGGACTGAGGATGGAGTGTAAATCAAGGCCCAGATCCTGCCCTCAGGAGGTTTCGTCAGGAGGAGGTACAGATGCTAAGTGCTCATTTATTCAAGCTCCAGTCACTGTGTTTACTGGAAAAACACTATGAAAAGGTCTCTAGCATCAAGGAACTTATGCTTTAGAACTGGGATCAGACACCAAACAAGAAAACAACAAACATAATGAACTGATTACAACTGTGATGAGTGCTCTAGGGGCGGAGTATAGCAAGTCACAAGCAGCATTTTCTTAAAGGAAATGGAACAGAACAGAAAATATCAACATCAAGCAAGGGTTTAGTTTCTTTCTCTGAAACTTTGTTTCAAGTATTTATTCTTGGGCACCTACTGGCTGGTAATGTCAATGTTACCTTTTTGTTGTTGTTGTTGTTTGACAGGCAGAGTGGACAGTAAGAGAGAGACAGAGAGAAAGGTCTTCCTTTGCCGTTGGTTCACCCTCCAATGGCCGCTGCGGCCAGCGTGCTACGGCTGGCGCATCGCGATGATCCGAAGGCAGGAGCCAGGTACTTATCCTGGTCTCCCATGCGGGTGCAGGGCCCAAGCACTTGGGCCATCCTCCACTGCACTCCCTGGCCACAGCAGAGAGCTGGCCTGAAAGAGGGGCAACCGGGACAGAATCCGGCGCCCCGACGGGGACTAGAACCTGGTGTGCCGGCGCCGCAAGGCGGAGGATTAGCCTAGTGAGCAGCGGCGCCGGCTGTCAATGTTACCTTTAACAGTGGAAATGACAAGACCCAAGATGAGCTGGAGAAGTTCTAGAATATAGTGGGCCTGGGGAACCACTGGGAAAATGTTTTCATTTGTTACTTCTTTTTAAGCCAGTGGGAAATGATCGAAATGTGAAGCAATGGACGTTTTTACAACATCTACCAATGTGTTAGAAAGATTACTGTAACAGCGGGTTCTGAGACGGCAGTTAGTCCCCTGAACTGATCTACGCACGGCTTTACGGGAGCAGTTTTCGTCCCTCACAAGACGGCAGGTTGTAAGCTTAACAAGAATCACTATTTTCCCAGGAATGTGTCAGGAGGGCAGGTCTCTCATTTATCCCACCTTCAAAAACAGAGCCTAACAAGCAGGAATTTAACCTACATAAATTACAACAGCTTGAAGCCAGGTGTGGTGGCACGGAAACGGACACGGGTGGCACATGCAGAGGATGATCAGGGCTTGCGGATTAAGTGTGAAGAGCGAAACAGATTTCGGCCGGGACTGTGCAGTCCGCCCTTCCTCTCCCCTCCCCTTTTAAAACACAAGCATTGCAGACGATATATGTGCCTTTTTAATCTACAGTGACCTCCTACAAGCCTCAGGAGCCATCTTGCCCATGGGATGCACCCTTCTCGATTTTCTGAGCTCCTCTTGTCAAAAGACAAGAGTCGTAAAGATTAAGTCTCTCGTAATGATCTCTCACCAGTCTGTTTCTGGACCTCCGCTAGTTACTTCTGTCACCACTTGAACTAGCAGGATGCGCAAAACGGATGAACAGGCTATCTCTACATTTGGTAATTTAGGTAGCAATGTGATTCCTCACAACACAACATTCGGACCTAGGACACACGAACGTGCCCATTCGGCAGGAAGTTACCACAATACACGCTGTTCAAGCTGTTTGTTTAAAACAAAACAAACCAGACAGACAGGCTCCCATGTGGCACGAAGGTCTGAGAGCTCCGTAAAAATAACTAAGAGATCTGCAACACACGGTCATGTTCAAAACCGTAAAACACAATGGAATCCGAATTATCAGGGGGAAAAAAAGCTATTATTTGTCCTTCAGATTTTCTACTAGCTGTTGGTCTGTAAAACCCCACAATATGCAACCATTTCATTCATTCGCTCAACATTCTTCCCACACCTAAGACTGACACCGCTGAAGCTCGGGAATGAGACTCCACGCAGTAGGAACAATGACCCAAACGCGGAGTCTGGGGTCCTCCCCACCACAGCCGCCAGCACGGCCCGGGCGCGTGGGGGAGCGGGAGGCCTCCGGCTCAGCAAATGCTCGTCTCCAGGCCTACCCGAGAGAGAGAGAGAGGGTAGGGGCACCAGGGAGCCTTGCGGACGAGGGCCGGGTCCGGGCAGGCGAGAAAGCGCGGTTACCTAGACGCCCCGGTGCCGAAGGTGAAACCGCCGCCGGTGCTGGTCCCGCCGGCCGCTACGGTGGTGGAGCCCAGCGTCCCCGACCCGAAGGAGAACCCTGTGGACATGGCTGCCGGGGCTGGAAGCTGTCAGCAAGCTCGAGATGGGCGTTTTTCTCAGTCTCAAAGCCAGGGCGGGCCAGGCAGCATCGTTTTTGCCCAGCCCTGACCTGGCGGGAACTTCAAGCCCAGCCACTGCGAGACCGAGGCCGAGGGGGGTGGGGCAGGCACGCCAGAGCACGCCGGACGCTCGCCGCGCGCTCGTAGCCGCCGGAAGCGAGCGCGCCGCGGGCAGGGAACCCTGGGACGGGAGCGGGTTGGACGCGCCGCGCGAGGCACCCTGGGATGCGGTGGGGTGGGGGCACCGCCGGCTCTCTTAAAGGGGTAGGCGCCTAGAGTTAAAAAAAAAAAATCACACCACACGTTACAAAACCATTTCTCTCTCTTTTTTAGTTCTGTCTTTGTATTCGTGCTGACGAAATCTATACTTTATGGCTGATGACTCTCAGTTCTACTGCTTCTAGCCTGCCTCCTGCCAAACATGGCGCAGAATCCCAGGATTAGGGCATCTTGCGGGTCCGGCTTCGGGGCGCGGCTGCCACAGCCCCGAGAAAGAAGCGGAGCTGGTCAGCTTCCTGACGGCTGGGAACTCAGTCGCTAACAGTTCCTTCCTTGGTCCCACGACGTGGGCCGTTCTCTGCGCTCCGGTACTTGCGGAGGCCGCCGCGCCGTCCGGGGAGCGACTCCTGAGGAGCGTCCGGCGCGCGAGCCGGGGCGCTCGGCGGTGGCTACGGCGTCCCCGGGGGCCGAGTCCGGCGGGCCCCCGATCGCCTAGCTTGTGGCTGAGTGAAGAAACAGGACCCAAGGCGAAGGAGTGCGGGACTCGGGGGTCCCTCTCGGCTGCTGCGTCGCGGCAGTGCGCGGCGCCCACACCCGGTGCTGGAGCCCGGGAACTGCCAAGTGGAAGGGAATTTTTATTTCCGGTATGACACTCAGTACTCTGTGCGGTGAAATGAAATGTGAGGGTTCCATGAGCTGCATTAGAACACCGCACAGTTAGAAGAGATCCCATTTGGCGGAAGCATCAGGAAGGGCGTTCTGCCTTGGATGCCTTGCGAGGCTACCGTCATAATGTGGGTCTGCATTTTTTTTTATGTCGGAGATGAGTGAGGGAGTCTCTCGATTGCTTCCCCTGCCTATGGTCTCTTTCAGGAAAATCCATCCTGTGAGCAACGCCAGGGTGTGTTCTCCTAAAACGTAATTCCCGCCATGGCAGTGCCTTGACCCAAACCCCATAGCTCCAAAGACGACCTCAACAGGAGCGATCTTGATAATGGCACATCGGGTGCTCCCCTAGGTTCAACAGTGGTTGCTGCTGAGCTTGTAGGTTGCCAGGGGCTAAGGACTCAATTATAACCCTCCCCACATGCATATGTTGAAGTCCTACCTGCCCCCCCAACCATGGGGCCCTGGAGGATAATTAAACTTAGATGAGTTTGAGGCTATCCAGTGGGGCTGGGGGTGTGAGGGCCCCTCAGACGCAGGTAGAATGTCCTTCACCAGCAGGCTGCCAAGCTGTGGCTAAAACGCTTGTTTCCAGACCAGCCGGCATCTCCCCCGTGAATAGCTTCATGTGCTGCATGTGTGACCTTGTGGTTTTAAGTCACATTTTCAGGGTGGTTGCCATCTTTCACCCAAAACTGGAAGAGGAAGAGGCTGAGCCCCTGGGGAGAGCCAGACTGTCTCCAGGAGACCCCTGCTGTCTCCGTGAGCCCCAAGCCAATCAACATAGTATGTGAAACCCCCCATCCAATGGGCACCCCCAATAGAATGACCCAATGAACAGATGGTAATGCCTTAAAAACCCCGGACACTTCACGAAAGCCAGTGTCCAATTGGGCACTCCATCTGGTCTCCTCTTGGACCAGATGCTTTTCTGTCGCTTGCCCATCAAATAAAAGTGTCTGCTCCTTTGCAATTGTTTCCCATGCAACTCCCTCCAGCAGCCACCCTCCCCTCCCCTCCGAGACTGGTAACAGGGTTCAGGAAAGTGGGTTCCCCAAGGTGAGATTAGTGTTTTTGTTCTGTCCACTGCCTGAGGACATAGCCCCAAGGGACCTTTGAACACCCCGAAACTTATCTGCAGGCGCCTTGATCTTGGACTTGCCACCCTCTGAAACTGTGCGAAATAAGTGTTTGTTGTTGTGGATTGAGGAGTTTTGTGACAACAGTTCGTACACCATCTGTTTGCTTTAATAATTAAAACTAAGTAAAGAGCAGTTTAAACATCGTAGAAGGCACAATGGAAATGACAGAAAAGGGGTATATCTGAACTGTAGCATAAAGGGAAATTTTACAGTTCCTGAACAGGAGGAGAAAAATGAAAATTATTGTAGGGTTTCAAGTTTCAGTGATCTAAAGAATGCTATTTTCAGTGATGGCTGCGGGATAGTACTGTTTTTTTCTTTGTTTGTTTGTTTTTTGTTTTGTTTTTTTGACAGGCAGAGTTAGACAGTGAGAGAGAGAGACAGAGAGAAAGGTCTTCCTTCCATTGGTTCACCCCCCACAAATGGCCGCCAAGAGCCAGGTGCTTCCTCCTGGTCTCCCATGCGGGTGCAGGGCCCAAACACTTGGGCCATCCTCTACTGCTTTCCCGGGGCCACAGCAGAGAGCTGGACTGGAAGAGGAGCAACCAGGACAGAACCAGCACCCCAACAGGACTAGAACCCCGGGGTACCAGCGCCGCAGGCAGAGGATTAGCTGAGTGAGCCGCGGAGCTGGCTGGGGATAGTATTGTTAACATAAACCCCAGAGGATTCCTTTTCAACTAAAACACCAGTAACTTTAGGAAGGAAGCTATAAGGCAGCTCCGTATGTGTTCACTCCCTAGTGTGTGCTTTTGAAAATTTTTGAAGAATACCAACAAAAAGGAAGAGCAAAGTATCTGGCACTTAAGAAATGTATATTAGTTAAAGAGACTTAAGATTTGCTGGACAGGAAAGAGATGTATGCAGGACTCATTTAAGACGTTAATAAGGGAAATTGAGTGTGATTAAGCTTGATTATTTGGTTAGTCAACTGAAAACTTGACAGTAAAATGACAACTCAAGCATCGTGCCTACCTAAACTGGGCCTCAAGCTGCTCCACCAGACAGGCAGAACCCTGGAGCACCTCGGTTCAGCTTAACTTAACCTTTCTTACCAAGTCTAGTGTGCATAACACATGCTATTCTAAAGCATCCGCCACATATTACTCTTTTTTTAACATTGTGGGCCCTGAACTCACTTGTTCGCTTTGAATTACTGCTTTTCCAGGAGGAAGCAGGTGCTGAATTTTGTGGCAAGCAGGTTTGTTTCCCCTTGCTTCTAGTGTATATTATGAAAATTCTGTTCAGAAATTCCTTTTTTTGCTGATTTGCTAGTGGGATGAGGTTGTTAGTGTCATGATCAAATCCAGTTGTCTGAAAGACAACAAAACTTAAATTCTAGTTTGTATTTGCATTTAAATATCCTAAGAGGAAGATTGGTTCCAGGGTGATGTCTTTTGCTTTTTTTTTTTTCCTTTGGAAGAACTTTAAATTTCTTAAATCAGTGAAGACATTAAAATTTTTCACGTAAGATAATTTTACATTGTCATTCAGCAACTTGGCAAAATGAAGCTATGGAAATGACCTGGCAGGGCTGATCTTAACTAAATCAATAGTAGCTAAAGATAAAAAAAAAATGTGGTGAAGGAGGGAAGTATCCTTATGTTCTGAGAATTGCATCTTTGAAATATGTGCGATCTGTTCTCTTTATATTAATAAAAAATTTTCAAAAAAGAAAATGTGAGAAAGCCCTATTAGGTTTCAGTCTTTACTCAGTTGGCTTTTTTCCTTTATTTTTAGGTATTTTAGTTTTTGTTTGTTTGTTTGTTTGTTTTTTGACAGGCAGAGTGGACAGTGAGAGAGAGAGACAGAGAGAAAGGTCTTCCTTTTCCGTTGGTTCACCCTCCAATGGCCACCGCAGCCGGCGCGCCCGGCACACCGTGCTGATCCAATGAATTGTATGGCAGGAGCCAGGTGCTTCTCCTGGTCTCCCATGCGGGTGCAGGGCCCAAGCACTTGGGCCATCCTCCACTGCACTTCCAGGCCACAGCAGAGAGCTGGCCTGGAAGAGGAGCAACTGGGACAGAATCTGGCGCCCCGACCGGGACTAGAACCCGGTGTGCCGGCGCCGCAAGGTGGAGGATTAGCCTATTGAGCCACGGCGCCGGCCAGTATTTTAGTTTTTAACAAGCAATATAGTTCACATATACAATTCTAAGAACATAATAATAATATTCCCTTCCTCCCTTCCTCTCTCTTCCTAGTGTGAAGTATGTAACTTGAGAATCCAAGGCAGGGCAAATGATTCAAAGCAACAGATCCTGAAATTAAAAAAAAAAAAAAAAAAAAAACATGAAAAAGAAAATCTAAGTAAAATACTTTATTTAGTTCAGTGATAAGAATAATGAAGAAGAGGGTGGCATTGTGGAGTAGCAGGTAAGGCCACTGCCTGTGACACTGGCATCCCAGATGGGCTCCATGTTGTGTCCCAGCTGTTCTGCTTCAGATCCAGCTCCCTGCTGATGGTCTGGGAAAGCAGCTGAAGATGGCCCAAGGGCCCAGGGCCCCTGCACCCACGTTGGAGATGTGGATAAGGCTCCTGGCTCCTGGCTTCATTGTGGCCATCTAGGGAGTGAACCGGCAAGTGGAAGGTCTCTCTCTCTCTCTCCCTCTCTCTCTCTTTCTCTCATTGTAACTTTTTCAAATAAATAAATAAATCTTTCTTTAAAAAACAATGAAAACATTGGGTGCTCATTTGCTTATTATTAAATGTGTTAGAAAACTCTCTTTAGAGAAAGGATTAGAAAATAGTTTTAAAAAAAAAGAAATAAAATAGTTTGGGAGTAGGAATCATGTTAAAAAATAAATAAATAAAAGCTAAATCCTGAGCAGCAATGAGGGGCGTGAACAGAAATGATCAAAAACTAAAAAGTAAATACCTAGAAGCAAATGCAGAAACAAAAGGCAAAAGGACTGCTTTTCACAAGGAGGAATGGGGGGTGGGGGCAGCACTCTGGTGTAGCAACTAAAGCTGGCACCGGTTTGAGTCCCGGCTGCTCCACTTCTGATCCAGCTCTCTGCTATGGCCTGGTAAAGCTGTAGAAGATGACCCAAGTCCTTGGGCCCCTGCATCCACAGGGAGACC